GTTTAGGGCTTTATAGGGCTCTATGGCAGCCCTATTATAGACTCTTACTGCAGGGGGTCAGTACCTAAGGCGTCTCATTTAAAGGGTCCCTTAAAGGAACGAGCCCTTGCAGGATCTATAAGGGTTCCTGTAGAGGGATCTATTATAGTGTTTAGAGTTTAGGGCTTTATAGGGCTTTATGGGTTCTCCTTTAAAGGGTCCCTTATAAAGGAACGAACCTTTAAAGGGTCCCTTAAAGGAAGAGGGTTTAGGGTCTAGGGCCTAGGGCTTATGGTTTATAGAACCCTTAAAGGTCCTTAAATGAATCGCTTAACGGAATCTGAATGCTTTAAAGGATCCCTTAAAGGTGTCCTTGAAGGGTTTCTGTACGTTTTTGGGGCCCTTTTGAGGGTTTTAGGGCCCCTTGAAGGGTTTCTGTATGTTTTTGGGGCTCCTTTGGAGGTTGTAGGGTTCTAGACTGGAATTCTGGGTGCTTTTGATGTTTTGGGTTTACGGTTCCTGTTAGGGTTCCTTTCAAAGGCTCGTATACATGTCGTGAAAGGGTTTAGGGGCTTCAGGTCATCTCACAATGTATTGCGTAAGTTTGTAAGCCTGCATGTATATCTAAGGAGTCTTCGTGAATAATAGTAGAGGCCGCAGAGTTGGAGCATAGAAAAGAGAGGTGGTATGACACTTTTTACCTTGTTCTAGGCCTGGGGGTGGGTTATACCAGAATGATACTACAACTTCTTGGCTTCTACTCAGGTTTTCACCCCCTCTAAACCCTAAATCCTAAACTATAACTTATTGGCTGTAAACTCAACTGTTCAACTTCTGGCGTTCTTGTAAGGTAGTCGATTCTGAAAGTTCAACTTTTATTTCCTTGGGTTTGGGGCCAATGAAATAAGCCCTAAACCCCCAAACCCTAAACCCTAAACCCCCAAACCCTAAAACCCTGAGGGCCCGAGGGTTTCGAGGTTTCGAACTTGGAGTTCAGACCTTACGGTGAAGTTCTGCAGTGTTGCGGGGGTGTATGTTTTCGTAGCTAATATATCTGTGCATACATGTGGGGTTGCCATATATATATATATATATATATAGACATAGATATATATATATATATATATATATACATATATATATATATATATATAGATCTACCTACCTACCTGGCTGGCGAGCTAGCTGGCCAGCTAGCTAGCCGGCTAGCTAGCAGGCTCTATATGCACGTGCTAAGAGTGACTCTAAGGGGAATCATTGCCAATCATGCAGACTCTATAGAGTCGCAGGAGTCCAATGACACAATGCATGATGTGCTTGTAGTTCTTGCGCTTTTCATCGCCTGCAGCCTTCAAGGCAACAAATAAATACGTCTACTTACTTGGAGGATCATGGGACTTAGTAACTATAGTTATCAGACCCTGACTTGGGGTTATAGAAAATTATAAGTATAGTTACCCCAATAATGACCCTATTTACAAAGTCCCATGATCCTTTAAGTATGCTCACTCTGATATCCAGGGCCCCAGAGGCTCAACCATTAGCCAGAAGCTGTTGACTGATGATGATTAGTCTGGCATCCGGAGATTGAGCCCTGAAAATCCAGAAGCCTAAGCCCCCCCAACCCTAAACCCTAGGACCTAAAATTTGATATGGCTTCCAAAAGCCCTAAAACCCGACGTAAACCCTGAATCCTAAACACGCCAGCAGTCGTGGGAGTCAGGTGCAGCGGAGCCAGCCTCTCCATTGTAGTCTCAGAAACGACGCCCGGGTTTAGTGTTTAGGGTTTTAGGGTTTGAGTGTTTTAGGGCTTGTAGGGTTTAGGGTTTTAGGGTTCTAGGGTTTAGGGTTTAGGGTTTTAGGGTTTCAAGGTTTTTAGGCTTTTATAGGGTTTTATAGGGTTTTTAGGGTTTAGGGTTCTGCGAGGGCTGCAAAACGGAACCCATAGGGAAGGAAATCACCCGTAAGCATCAGGCACTAAGTCTTAGAAGCAGGAAGACCGTAAGCTCTTCTATGCCAACCGACTAAATCTGAAACGTCCGAAAGCTCCAAGACATCAGATTTTCTCAGAACCTCGCCCCTAAACCCTCAACCCTCTTACCTTTGGTTAGTAGGGAATGGCAGAATGGTAGTAATAGTAGTTATAATTGTCCCCATTCCTCCATTCCCTACTAACCAAAGGTAAGGGTAAGAAGCAGGTGTTCTCAGAAGTTCAAGACTCTTCCGCCGGAGCTGCAAAATCAAGTCCTCAGTGAGGCGGGCCGCAGAACTTGAAGGGATTAGGGATTGGGTCTAGGGTTTACTTAGGGGTACTTGGAAATATTTGTCAATCTTTCGTTCCTTTAATCCCTAAGAAACAGCTAACATTGTAATTTTTGCTAGGGGTCTAGGTTCAGTATAGTTTAGGGAAGGGCAGGGACTAGGGATTGGGTACAGGCCAGGAGGCTTTCGAATCAGCTTTCTCCACAGAGCCCTGTATCCCGAAAGGTTAGAGTTACGTTTTCCGGTTGAGGGTTTGGGGGCAAAACCCACCACGCACCAGCCCAAAACCCGAAACCGTTAAGGCAAACCCGGAACCGAAAGAGTCAGCTCTTTCCGGTCCATTTTGCCCCCTTTCTACAGGTGCCGCCGGACTGTCGCAATCTGAGCGCTTATGAAGCTCCGCTGCACTCAGGTTCCTCATTCAGGGCAATTTATAGGATCCTTAAGGGGGGGTGGTTCAAGGGGGGAGGGTACTAGGGAGCTTTGGGGAACCTTAGGGAAGCTTAGGGAGTATTGGGGAATAATGGGGATTACTAGGTTACCTACCCCCCTTGGACCACCCCCCCTTAAGGACATCCTAAGCAATCGTAGAGCCCCGGAGTGTTTCTGTTATCGGTTGGAGTCCCTTCAAGTGTGAAATAGGGGCCTAAATACCAACATTACTCATTGGGCTCTTTATCAGTATAGTATATTGAACCCCATGGCCGTATTCTACTTAGTAAGGCGCCTGTCTTATTCGGAGCCACTTGGAAAGGGTAGTAAAGGAGTTTCCGAACCCCCCCACACTCCGACTTACCGATGCACATACTTAACCCTAGAAACCTAAGCCCTCTATAATCCCCCTAAGCCCCTAAAGCCTTAAACCTTAAACCCAAAAAACCTAAGCCCGAATCCCCTAAACCCTTAAAGGAACCCTGAAAGGGACCTCGAACCTTCAACCCTAGAGGGCTTCTTTAGAGGACTGCAGCTTTGTTGAGTTTTTGTTGGGGATATGTCGGGTCGTATGGGTTGCACTGCGCCTGGTAGACCCTAAACCCTTTAGGGTTCAGGGTTTAGCGTCTGGGGTTTAGGGTCCGGGTTTCCATGTCCCTAGTCATGCTGAGCTTCGTATGGCTCTTCATGGTAGTGTAGTGGGTGACCCCTTGCGGCTCAGACAACTTTGACCTAGCGTGGGCCAGCACGCTTGTCGCCAGATCGCACTGGGCTGACAATTCGCCCGGCAGCTGTGAAGGGAAGTCGACAGCTCCCCCTCGCTGAGGGCCACCCGAGAAGAAAGCCCCGAGACGAGGACACACCGCTCTTGCGAAATTGCAGAAGCGTCTTAACGGCACCGAAATGCCTGGTTTTCTGTCGAACCTCATCTTCAGCTTCGTTCCAGATTGTCGAACTGTCATTTCGATCCTCAACATCCCGAAGACTCCAATATCCCTTAATTAAGGAATATTCCTTAAATCATATGAGGGATCCTACTATGGTTTAAGGTATATTCCTAATTAGGGGATATTGGAGTCCCTGGGATCTATGTCGACGATCTTAAGCTCATTGGTCCGAGGCGCTTGCATGAAGGATCTTGCAAAGCTGTGCACTGCTCACTTCTCTGTCATCGTTGGGTAACCCAATAAGGAATACAAAATTGGATTTTTAATCCTATCCCAACCATGAACTAGTATTTGAATTAGTATTCCAACAACTTCCCCAAACCCCCGACCCGAAACCCTAAACCCTAAGCCGTAAGCGCTCACAGAGATTTGTCGGCTCAGAATGCACAGGGCGTACGGCTCCAAGGTCAGATCATGCCATCATCGGCTTCCGCTCAGTGTAAGCACTGCTTGCAGGTTCATGGGTACTCATCAGGAAGGTGGGGATGAGTGACTTGCTGTGCTTTTGGCCATGGTTGCTTCCACCTGTGCCGGGATGCAAGGGCTCCTAACAGAATAGTTATTCATGAACCATACAGTAGAGCTCAGGGCGTTGGCAATGCAGTGCTTCGGGAAGCCGGTAGAGCGGCATTCGGATTTCTACCTGGTGCCATCGCTTCCTAGATAACTTTGCATAGCATCATCCGAAAACTCTGCGTGGATGCCAGGGAACTTAACAAGCAGGGTTACATAATGTTCTAAGTAAGGTAGCGACAGTTATCTGATTATCTCCACTCATTATCCCCAGCTTGAGTGCCCTTAGGTACAACCCGAACTCTAAACCCTAAATCATGAACCCTAAATCCTGAACCCTAAACCATAAACCCTAAATCCTGAACCCTGAACCCTGGACCCTGCACCGAACCCGCATTGGAATTTTTTGGAAACCTTCCTACAGCGCTTGGATTGGAAGCTCTATGCCCCGGCTAGGCCCTAACCCTGAAGTCCAAACAACCTTAAAGGCTCATCGGACTTAGTAACTAGGGTTCCTAGGGTTCCTTTAAAGGGGCTACTATAAGGGATACCATAGAGTTTGGGGTTTAGGGTTTAGGGTCTACAGTAAAACCCATAAAGTTGGAAACGGGATTGAGGCCAAATAGTGCTGGGATCCCTATACATGACTCTTAAGGATGGAGGCTCTGGGGTTTCCAACTTTTGGGCTTATTTTTGTTTTATTGCTCTTTGTACGTATGTCTACCGACCTTTACTGTTGCATGGCTCAAGACAAAAAGTGTGTGTGCGATTCGTGCTATCGTGCACTATCTATAGGTTATCAGCCGTAGCCTAGTCGAGCCATATCCTTTTCCAGGTCGCTCCTGAAATCCTGCAGGTAACACCGGAATGGAGGACACAGCCGAGCCAGTGCCAACGGGTATCTCAGATATGACATTGGCAACTGATGAAGCAAGTGATCAAGGATTTCCTCCATTAATGCCAACAGGTGATAGTCATTTGCCGAATGACGGACTGGCAATCATGTCACATGATGCAGCGCACTCTCCGATTGATTCGTTGCTTAGGGAACGTGTCCCTACTACGCCAGTATCTATTGCACCTGTCACTCCGGTAGGAATACCTGGACCGTTGGCTCATGCTACGGGCGTGCCCAGCCCATCAACACCAATCTATTCACCTCACTATCATCAAGCAAGCCTCACCCAGAACCTTCAGGTTGTCGATGCCAGGCAGTTGACGATTAATCAGGATGCATCTCCGATGGTCGCCTTTGCCGCCGAGGCACGACACAATCAGATTATCGGCGAATTGGGAGCAGAACATCAGGAGCAGCTCCGTGCAATGTACAATAGTGGGCTTGCAGAGGTGAACAAGTTGAGGAACGAATTAGGCAATGCTAACATTGCGTTGTCGATTCAGAGGTCTGAAATGGGTCAAGGTGAAGTTCGTTTCCAACAAACCGAAAGCGCGAGGGAACTCGCTGTCATTGAAGCCAACCGGCAAGCGGAAGCTGCCCGTAGAGCTTTAGAGGAAGCTAACAGCAATGCCAGGCGCCTTCGCGAAGTGGAAACTTCTGCCCGTCAGAATGATGCAATGCGATCCCATGAGGTCGCTGACATGTCATCTCGGATGGATGAACTGATGAGGCAGCTTCACGCCCAGCGTCAGCAGACAGAGGTATTGATTCAGCAGAATAGTGCATTAAGCTCCAGGGTTCGAGATTTCGAAGCTAGAGATGCTGCTTTGAGGATTCAAGAGGGAATTCCACAAGGGCCTCCACCCGGCATTCCCGTGCATCCCATTTCCACCCCGAAGCATGGAGGTGACACTCCTACGGAACAGGCGACGGACGCCGGGAGGCGAACCCCTCCAGATGGCTCCAGCCCAGGTGGCGGTGGTGGTGGCGGCGGGCCTGATGGCAACGGCCCCAGCGGAGGCGATGATGATCATGATCGTCGCAGTCGGAAGTCCAAGAAGGATAAGAAGCATAAGAAGAAGAAGTCGCGCAGGCGACGTAGGCGAGATCCTTCGTCTTCCCCTTCTAGCTCTAGCAGTAGCTCCGGTGATTCGAGTTCTTCATCATCCCGCATTGATAGGAAGACCATGAAGAAGCTCCTTAAGCGGATGAGTGAAGCTGTTGGTGACCGTGGTGAAAAGCCCGAGAAAGACGACAAGCCCAAAGTGAAAGAAGCTGAGAAGATTACCTTCCCCAAGTTCCCGCAACCTGAGAGCTACAGGAATTGGAGGCTAAGGGTTCGTGAAGCGGTCGTTGCCGCATCCGATCGTCCCGATGATGCCTTTTCGTGGCTTTCCAAGGTTTGGGAGAAAGATGTCAAGGAAGAAGATCTTCACGACCCGGAAGGGTTCGTCACTTTGGATGCTAAGGTACTGTCGGCGGTCACTAACATCCTGGAAGGTGCCTTTGCGAGACAGGTTGATACCTTCAAGGAGCGGGAGGCAAATGCCGGGAGACTTGTTCGGGGACGACAAGTGCTTTTCAAGTTGGATAATTTCTTTTCTACCAACGCACAGCATGGTTCAGTTTACGAGTTTGAGGATCTCTTGTCAGTCAAGATGGTCAACGAGAAGCTTGAGACTTTCATGCACAACTGGGAAACTGTATTGTCAGGGATCCAGACTACCCCCGATGAGAACTTCCTTGAGCCCTTGTTCCATAGGCAGATTAAGCGCTTCAAAGACCTCGCACATGATATCAACATCTATGAAAGGGCAACACCAGGGCAGCCAGAGAAGACCTACAAGTTTTTGTATGACGCGGCTACGAACTACTTGAGTCGCAAGCGTCTTGAACGCAACCGGGAACGGATTGCCAAGCAATATGGTGCTGATGGGAAACCATCTGCCCCCGCTCCCAAGAAGAAATTCGTCCCTAAGGGATTTTGTTTTGAGTTCGTACAGAACGGTAAGTGTAGCAAAGGAGACAAATGCAAGTACAAGCATGAGATCCCTGAGAAGAGAGGCCGGTCGCATTCAAGAGGTGGAGGTCGCGCTCAGTCACCGTCTGGCAACGACGGAAAACCCAGAGAATGCAAGTTCTGGAAGAGTGGGCGATGCAAGAAAGGAAGTGCATGTACGTTCCTCCACACAGGCAAGCCAAGCGCTGCGGCGGCGTCACAAGGCGGCTCTCAGGGGGGAAGACCAGGAAGCGCAGGCAGCAAGGGGAAAGAAAAGAAGGAGAAGAAGGGCCATCGCAAATCGCGGTCCAACTCGAAGGGCTCTCAGGGGTCGAAGAACTCTAAGGGCAGCAAGGGTTCGGACAAGCGAAAGGGTCCAAAATCACCAAAAGTTCCCGCTGCGGTCTGCATCCTAGGGGCATTGATCGCCGCGGCATCGGGTACCCAAGCCGACGCTGCTTATGCATTCCGGAAGGATATGCCCGATAGTCGTGGTGACATGTCAGCTACCTTTTCATGTGCGTTGCCAGCTATTCGTTTCGACGATAATCCGATGCTCATCAACATCCCACCTGACGGAAAGATGTTGCCGACAGAACCCGAGACACGGAGGTACTTGAAGTCCTTCGGTGGGGAACCTCCTAGACCTAGTCAACAGGACGTCAAAGATGCACTGACGACTGCCAGGATGCTTAAAGCAACTCTGGATGCATATGGTTCCGGGATAAGGGCTAAGTGTGGTTATGAGTGTGACACGGAATTCGGTTGCGACAAGTGCATTCCGAAACACATTGAAGCTACCTGTGTTGCAGCTACCAAAGCGGAAGCCCAGCAGCTCGACATTGAGTGGATCGCGGATACCGGCAGCGCCCAGGACCTGGTTTCACAGGGGGATCTCGGATCTTTGAGAAGCCATCGTTCCCAAAATCCTATCGGTATTGTGACGGCTAATGGGCCTAGCACTGCTGAGATTCAGTCCAACATCGCAGTTCCTTCACTTGGAATTGACAGCCATCCATACGTGTTGCCTAGCACACCCTCTGTTCTATCCGTTGGTTACAGGTGCATGGAAGAGGGATTCGATTTCGTTTGGAGATCGGGTACAAGACCTTACTTTCAGTCATCTAGCGGTGAGCGGATATATATGGATGTGAAGGATTACGTCCCCTACCTCAAATCGTGGAAGGAAGGTGTGGCGGTACCTGCGAGGCGGAAGCCCCAGCCCGATGAGGACCATAAGAATGATTTGGTTCTTTCGCTTGAAGAGGCTGAGGGATATGCAAGGGAACTTCGGATCAACGGCGACTTTCGTCTGGGATCATGTTACAAACTTTTGAAATTGACACCATTCAAGTCTACAGGGAATCCGAGGAGAATGAAAGCTACTGAAAATGACGACTCGGTTGAAGATGAAGTTGGCAGGGACTACATAATCATCGGCGCTTGGATTTTTAGCGGTATGACTGGAATCACAAATTCTGTAGATCGTCATGCTCAGCTGACCAAGTACCTGATCGCCTTCATGAAGTCAAGAGGGTTGAAAGATACCTTTACGTCCATCTGCATCAACCATGGTGGCAATCGCCGGGTGCATCGAGACTTGTTGAATCATGATGACTCGCTCAATCACACTCTAGGCGTTGGAAGCTATCAAGGTGGTTCCGTATGGGTTGAGCGGAAGGACGACTTTCCCGTATTTCGCAGAGAAGGTGTAGCTGGTGGGAAATCAAAGTGCGTCAAGGTTACGGGGGTACTCGAAGTCAATGGAAGAGTATACGACACTCATGATCGAATGTTATCCTTCCACCCCAAGCTTTGGCATCAGGCACAGCCTTGGACAGGTGATCGATGGACCATCACTGCATACACGATTCGGGATGTAGACGGTTTGAGCTGGGAAAAGTCAAAGTCGCTAATGTCGCTTGGGTTTCAGTTGAATTCATCAAGACGGTTACCATTTGTTCCATCATTGATTACCGGCGACAGCGATGAAGAGCTCACACTTTACGACTTTGTGAAGAAGAAGAAGAAGGCCGAAGCCGAGAAAGATAAGGTTCCTGAACCAGCTCCTCCTCTGATGAAGAGTAAGGCAAGGCCAAGTCTAAGCCCAGCAAGCCTGATGCCGGGCGGAAGCCTGAGCCCGAGCCTGAAAAGGGTGCAGACATGTCTGATCTTTTTGATATTGAGGAGCATTTCGATGAAGCCGGGGAGTTGAAAAGTGCCGAGGATCAGCCACCTCCTCCTCCTGTTCCTGCTGAGGCAGATAAGCGTTCGAAAGGAGAGAAGGTTTTACGTGAAGAAGCTAAGAGCGAACATCATCTGATGACACACGTCCCAAAGAACCCCTTTTGCCCTACATGCCAAAGAGCGAAGATGTTCAAGCCGCCTTCGTATCAAACGAATGGTTCCAGGTTCATTGAGTCTGAGAAATTCGGCGACCATCTCACTGGGGATCATCTCATTGTCTATCGCGACAACGAAGAAGAGATTAAGGATTCGCGATTAGCTTTGGTTATGAAGGACGTGGCAACGGGTTTCCTCGCGGCCTATCCCTCCGGACGGAAGTCTCAGGACGAGTGCTACAAGGCGCTCAACCACTTTGTTGCTAACAATGAAGATGTTGGCATCTTCTACAGTGACAATGCTCCTGAAATTAATGGGGCAGTAGAAGAAATGGGCTGGAAGCATGAACATTCTAAGGCCTATATCCATCAGTCCAATGCCATGGCTGAGCGTGCGATCAGGACTGTTACGGAAGGCACCAGAGCGAATCTGGAGCAAGCCGGTCTGGCTCATGCTTATTGGCCCCATGCCTTACAACATGCTTGTGTTGCCCATAACATAAGCCATCCCAATGGTACGAAGTACTCTTCATGGACTTTGCGGTTCGGCAAGGACTTTCATGGGCCGTTGATTCCATTTGGTTGCCGAGTAGACTACTGGGTCGGTACTCGAGAACAGCGGAAGCTGCAAGGGTACGAAAGATTTGAGAGTTCATCAGAACATGGGATCTTCATGGGTTACCACTTCCAACCAGGAATGCGTTGGCGTGAAGAGATGTTGGTAATTCCGATATCCAAGCTGAATGGAAGTGACTTCTACGAGTACCACAAGCCTATTAAAGTGCATCAATTGAAAGTGCCTGACGGTGAGTTCACTTTCCCCATGGTCGAACGTTATAACCGTGTCCGAGACGGGCTAGCGCATGACGCCATCGAAAAGCCTGTCGTTGAATCTCTGAGAAATCAGGATGCGGAACCAGTCGTAGATCCTCCTGGGGACGGTGAGGCTGAAGTAGAAGTACCTAAAGTTATTGATCCCAAATCAGGTGACCTCGTTGAGTTGCCCGAAGGCGGACGATTCTATGACTCCGGTGGAACTCTTGGTAGGAGATATGGAGGGTCCAGAGGTTCAAAGAAGCCGGATAGCATTCCTTCTCATATATGGGTCAATTTGTCCAAGAGGCAGAAAGATAAGGCGATAGCGGAAGAAGCATCGAAAATCGCTAGGGAATATCATGAAGGTGCCGATCGGGCAGGTGGCGGATCATCGAGTTCAAGGCCTGCTGCGACGCTTGGTGCGTCCCGAGATCGATGGGAGATCAAGGGAAACAAGTTAGTGCGGTATCATTGTGTTCCTAGACGAGAACTTTTCTCTCCCGATATCACCGATTGTCCTATTCCCACTTCTAGGATAAAGCCGACAAGGATCTTGCAGATCATCCCCGTGGGAACGGAGGACACTGTTGCTGATGAAGATGATTGGACAAACCCGCGAAGAAGGAACAAGAAATTGCCTTTTAGATGGACCGGCAAAACCATCTTTGAGATCCTACCCTTGGGTACTAGTAGTGCTCATATCGTGGGGGAACCCTATCCGACTATGCCAACGATCCCACGTAGTGGGGAACATCGCGAAAAGATTGGTAATGACCATCAATTCACCCAATCTGAGCTGGAAGTTATGATGGCCTTAGTGGCTCGTCCGGTTGGCAAGAAGGAGCTCGCGGAGAACAATGACGCCCAGAAATCACTTGACGTGGAATGGGATAAGTTGATGCAAAAGCGAGCATGGGATATGGATAACCCACGGGAGTGGTCTGAGATCTCGGCGGAAGCCGTCAGACGGGGTCGCAAGGCCCATGTTGGACGTGTTTTCGAAATCTGTGTAGAAAAAGGGAGCGAACTCCCCAAAGGAAATCCCCTGAGGAAATTCAAAGGCCGTACGGTCTTCCAGGGTAATAATGTCCAGGACGAAAGCAGCAACGCCGCCCTGTTTTCGGAGTTAGGTTCGAGCCCTGCTTCGATGGAGGCGGGCAAGGTGCTGGATACGTACGGATCTCAGCCAGGTTTCGCCTGTGAACAGGCCGACGGTAAGCAAGCTTACACTCAGACGACTTTGAAAGGCGCTGAAACTTGGGTTCGATTACCAAGGGAGCGGTGGCCTAAGTCCTGGGTTGGCAAGTTCAACGATCCAGTAGTTCGGCGCTGTACGGACACCCTGATTCGGGGGGCTTCTGGGAGAAGCATTGTGAGCAGAGACTCAAGCAAGCGGGTTTTGATCTTCTGTTTCCCTCTTCGTGGCCTTCGGTTTTCTTTCATCCTAAGCTTCGCCTACTCTTAGCCGTCTACGTTGATGATTTCAAGATGGCTGGACCTGTTGAGAATATGCAGGAAGGGTGGAAGCTGATCGGGTCTAAGATCGATATGGATAGCCCGACTCCACTTGGAAGATACCTTGGGTGTGAACATGTAGAGAAGAAGAAAGTTCAACTGGGAACAGCTGACCATCCCTTTGCCCACATCTTTGATAAGAGTATTCCTGACCCCGCGGCCAAACCTTCGGTTCCGGCTACGTCCCAGGATTATACGGAGTACTTTCCTGATGAAGGTGTTATTGTTCGCCATCATATGCAGCCTCGCAAAGCTAAGTATGCTGTTAGCGCTGCGGAAGCAGACGTCTTGAACATCGGCGACCTGCGGTTGACCGAACGTCAGCTTCTTGGAAGTACTTCTGCAGAAGAACAATGGGATGATGGTTTCCGGGGGGGTAAGGCTTCGGGACTTTGGACGGGAACCACTTACTTGTTTGATCGTGGTATTGATAAGCATCATGCCGTGGCTGCTGTTAAGCGCATTCGTGACAAGAACACAGCTAAAAAGGAAGCTAGGAAACAGGCTTTCTATGACATCAGCCAATTGTCTAGTGGCACCGGATGCATGAAACATCCCGTCAACATCATCGAGTATGACATGAAGTCTTTTCTTGAACAAGCTGTACAAAAGTACAAAGACCTTGCTGGCCCCAAGTATCACACCCTCAAGTCAGCCTCTACTCCTTTCGCCGACGAGAAGATCGCGAGGCCCATCGACGATGAGGCCGAGGCAAAGGGTGAATTGGCTCCTATCGCTAGCCGAGTTCTGATGAAACTTTTGTTTGCTGCCAGGATGGCTCGTTATGATCTTTTGCGGGCTGTTCAGGGATTGGCAAGCAGAGTCACCAAGTGGTCTGCTGAATGCGACCGGGCTCTACACCGATTGATGTGTTATGTGAATTCCACCCTAGACTTGAAGTTAAGGGGAATCATCGGTGACCCGATTGACCAGTGCAAGATATGGTTGTTTGCTGATGCAGATCACGCAGGTGAGCATGATAACAAGAGTACATCAGGATGCTTCGAGGCTTTGGTCGGACCAAACACGTACTTTCCTTTGGCGGCTTACAGCAAGAAGCAAACCTCAATTTCTATTAGTTCTACCGAGTCCGAGGTCGTATGCGCCAATATTGCTTTGAGGACTGTTGGTTTGCCATCCTCCGCTTTATGGAGTGTGCTCCTGAAGGCAGGGGGGGGTTCAGACGCATCAAAGCCGAGCGCACCCCGGAAGGGAGATGCCTGTTTGGTCAAATTCCCAGATCAGGATGTTGCCTCTCAGGTACCGAAGACTGGTAGACATGAACTTATTGATTGTCGAGTAGCTGTTCTTTCAGGCGGTGACAGTATCCCTGAACCCGTTGAGCTCGCACCCCACCCTCTTCGAGATGTATGGTTGCTCCGGGGGGACAAATGGTCCAGAACAGAAGAAGCTGTCGCTTGGGAAGAGCTCGAGAATGCCTCCTATATGGTTCCGAAGGATGCTAAAGCCATCTTGTGCCTGTACCGGAAGTCATCATTGGAGTATCGTCGCTCTGCGGAAGCAGAAGCCGAATTGAATTATGAGGCTTACAAGCTCCGTCATGGACTTGGCGACTTCGAGTACACCGATGATGCAAAGATCAGATCCGATCATTCATTGATCATGGCTGCACCACATTGCATGCAACCTGTGATGTTAGAAGATAACCAGGCCACTATTAGGATCATGGAGTCCGGAAGGTCACCGGCATTTAGGCACACAGACAAAACCCAAAGAATCAATCTCGGATGGGTATCGGAACAGTTCAGAAGGAAGCATTATGATCTCGCGTACATTAGTACCTTGCTGCAGTCTGCCGACATTTTGACTAAGCCATTTACCAACATTGACAAATGGAAGAGAGCGGTTTTCCTCATTGGCCATGTCTATGTCAAACCATCAAGGCCTGCTTCGCCAATCGTCGTGCCGGACAACCTCGAGAAGAGGATCGAGCCCGAGAACAACGGGGTTCTCATCGAATGGGGACATGATCCGTCGTTCTCTCTGCTCGGAAGGGCAGACGATAGTGGTAGCGGTAGCCCATCTGTCGTTCGGGTCACTCATAGCATGGACCTTAACAGTACTCAGACGAGTAGGGACTTGCTCAAGGTCGCCAAAGGCTATGCCAAGTCGAATGTTCCCATTACCGTTTGGGTTGACCTGCGCTTTGCGGGGGGTCCTGATGATCGCAAACACTTTGGCAAGCTATGGTCTTCTTTCGTCAACTTAAGCACCGGATTGGATTTGAATAACTGCCATTACGTCGTGATTGCTCCCTGGGATCATTTCTCATGGAAGATGGATCGAGTTGTCAGGTGGTGTTCCAATCATGAGTGTACGAGTTTTGAACTTCTTGATGGCGAAAGATCAGGCAATTTAGGTCATTGGAGATTGCATACTTCCTACAAGAATTTGCCAATTGAAGTGATGAACTGTTTTCATGGCTGTAAGCTCAAGAACATTTCAGAGCCACAATTTCCTGTTCGACAAGCTGCTGTTGCGGTACAAGTTACTCTGAGCGAAGATCCAATAGGAAGCGCAGCAGTGATGGCATCCTCTTTGCCCACCGTTTCTCTGGAGGAGCGTCGCCGACGCATCGAGGCTTTCCGCAGGGCTCTTAAGGACCCTGATTGCCTCGCGAAGCGATGGCCTTTGAGGAACCGGCATATTTTAAGGATGCCTATGGCGTTGTGAAGGAGGCGTACCAGTACAAGCTGGTGGAGCCTGCGGAGTCTGATCCGCCAGAGGCCATTTTCCTCGGCCGTATCCGAAACGGCGAGTGGATTGGTCTGCGGAAGCAGTACCCCTACGCAGGTTTTCCCCTCCTGTACGAGATGTGGCACCGCCATTTCAACAGCCCGGCTCATCAGGGAATGCCGATTGAGGGCTTCGAGCTCCATGGCGATTCCCTCCTGACGGAGTGGACAGAACTTGTCAAAGCTTATCTCCGCGACCTGGCTTATGTGGGGCATGCCACAAACGCCGAACGGGCTCTCAAGGCCACTGAGCCGTTTGATGTCTGTCACAGAGCGTATGTGCTATCCCAGGAAACCCTGGGCTACCACGAGTTAATGCCAGCTGCCACGGCGTTGTTAGACTCGGTGTATACTCCAGCCCTCCGAAGAATCGAGCATCAAGAGCAACCAAGCTCGTATTTTATTATCGGAGGAGATAGCTCTCTCGCGTTGGTGACCCGCGGCGACGGTGGACGCGTCCTGATGAAGGGGACGATGGAACCGTCACTCCGGGAGGAGATGACCAAGGACATCCGCATGGATGGATGTTCGGTCGTCATGCGCTGGGGGAAAGGACTTGGAGACATCGTGTGGCACGTGGAACAAGAGCTCAACCGAGTCCAGAAGTGGAAGAACGGCCAGGAACCGCTCGCACCGGAAGGTGTCGACATTATCATTCAATGGGGTGGTAATGACGTCTATGGCGAGTATGGTTACAAAGGCTTTTCCTTCCACATGCGCAATGCGTGGGTTCGTGTTGATGATGCATTGCATGACACACTTTCCAATTGGGAGACCAAGGGACGCAAGGCCGTCGAGGACGCAAAAGATGCCCTGGTCCGTCTCTCATCCCGGAAGGGAGTGTCCTCTGTCACGTTGGTGGCTGGCCCCCACAATGGGGAATTCTATGGTCTCCCGGAGGTCTATGACCTGGAGATGGCACGCCATTCCGATGAGTTGAAGGAGCGAGGGATCCGCATCGTTGATCCCCAGGCTCACATCCTTACGACAGAGCGTTACGATGGGTTTCACATGGAGGCTACCCACGACAACGTGAAGGTTACCACCCGCTGGTTCTTTCACCTTTGCTCTGCAATCATGTTCGAGCGGTGGCTTGTGAAGCATGCGATGGAACTTAAGGCCAATTCGCGTGGTATCCTCTTTCACAACCACTTTCACCTCGGACTCGGCTTGGAAGAGCTCGACATCCCTCCTACCACGGACTTGCTCATTCCGGCGGAAGCTGAGATGGTGACTTTCCCACCTGAGGCACCGCCCGTGCAACGTTTCCCAGAGGAGGAGATTGTCTTGAACCAGCCGATCCTCAGCTTGGAAAAGCTTGACGAGCTTGAGGGTGTACCGCCCACTGACTATGTCAATGAAGTGGCGAAAGAGTCAGAGGAGCTCACGGTTGAGGACGTGGTGTCTCGTAACCCGAATCCGGAGGACGAGCACCTCACCGTGGAAGCGGTTGACCCCGGCTCGGAGATGGAACAAATCGTTCGGAAAATGATTGAGTCGGCGAACCTGGTGATGACGGATAAGGAGGCTGAAGAGGTCGCCCAGGAGACGGGTGTTGCTCCATACGAGTTTGTTGAGCCGAATGTCACAGCTACATCTGTCGTGGATGGTGAGGCAGTCTCTACGATTGCTACTTCCGACATCCCGACGGAAGTCTGGGACTCTGGTCCGATGGCTGTGGACTACGGCGCAGATGACGAAGTGGAGCATCCCCGCGGAAGTGGTGGACCCATCTGGCTTACACCGGATCAGCTACCTGATGTCAAGGGTCGCATGGGATACTTTCGCCTCAATGAGATGGAGTGTGTTTCGTTGGGCAAAAAGCTGTCGTGGCACCTGCGTGGGCATGCCAAGGACAAGGGGTTCCGCACTGTTGAGTTCGACGAAGAGCAGTCAGCAGAGATTGGTGATGTCTTGAAGGTCATTGGGAAACAGTGGTCCCGCCTGACGGTGATGACCATTATTGACCTGTTGACGTCCGATCACTGTGACAAAGCACGGTTCGAACTCCAGGCGGAAGCCTTGGACGAGGAGACACGGTTGGGCCGGGGAACAAACTGGCACTTTACCCGTGTCCGAGCATTCCAAGGACACAACGCCTGCTTGCTCGTCCTCGGCAGTGACCCGCTGAAGACCACTGTCAAACAGTGGGCCCTCGATGACCAATGGATCCCGTCCTATGTTGATCTACCGATCACGGGTCCATATCCTTATCGGGCAACGGCCTTCGATCTGATGCCAAAGCTGGCGTACCATGCCACATACTGGCGAAATTTCATCAAGATCGTCAACACAGGCCTCATCCCGGGAGGGAAAATGACCTCGTTGGGCAACAGCGGGAGGCCCTTCAACATGTTCGCGATGGAGCCTCAGTGGGAACGCACCTCCAATCAGGGTGTCCGCCCTGGCGCGCAGCTGGAATTTGTGATAGACTTACAGCTCGCTGCTTGCGATGGCTGTCGGTTTTTCGAGACAAAAGCTGGAGCGCTGCAGACGCCGGATTGGATCAGCAACCGGGCCATTCTGTATGCATATGACCGGTCGACTCAGGAGATGATCTGGGCGAACCGAGCATACGAACCAGCGCGGAAGCGCTTGGCCCAGGCGTGCAAAGACAAGAGCCTCAACACGCCCATTTATGGCGAGCGGGGTCACCAGGAACTGATCGATGCAAACGGCTATTGCTTCAACTACCTCGTGGCAGGCCTAGGGTATCGCAGTTTCGACACCTGGAAAGACGCCGCTAAGGCATGCAAGGATGTCTACGACCTTGATTTCTACCCAACAAGCATGTGTGGTCTAGACATTCGCATCCCGGAAGGGCATGCCTTGCAGGGCTCTGAGTCATTGTACAAGATGGTGGTTCACGTGGCTCCGAAGCAACCTCATCAGAAATGCAACGATGAGTCGGATTGGCGCCGCCAAGAGAATGTCAGCATTCCTTCTTTTGCTTGCCCGAGCTGCGGTACATCCAACGTTGATGGTACAATCTGCTGCTATCGATGTGAGTCTCGACTGGAACCGCACTCAGATGTTAGCATGGCTTTGGAGAACACCCGTGCCAAGCAAGTTGCCGCCCGGAAGGGTGAGCCCCTGGATTACAGGGCATTGCAACCGAGCGGGGAGGTCAACTCCAATCGGGCCACGGGCAACAAGAGGGATCGGAGTGCTGGCTCTGGCCCAGCCGCTGTTCGTCAGCAGGCCGCTAAGTACCTCGGAAAGGCCTTGAAGGCGGGTTCTCGCACTGTTGTTGAGCGTCAGTCTCGTGATCCGTTCACGGCCTACAACAATGCAAGATTTGGCATATCCATCACGGGGCTTGAGCAACTCATGATTTTCGCCCGAATGAGGATCGCCAACCCGCCGAGGTCACGCCAGATGATCCATGACCGCACTGGCTTTGACGGCGCAGCAAAGGTGAGCTTCTCGTTCCCACCGGAAGGTGAGGACCTGACACTTACGGACCACTGCTTCGTGGCGTTCGTGGACAGGTTCTACAAGCTTGATGAAGCCGCCTTGTTGGCGTTTGCCGTCCATCGCAATGGCTACGTCATGGACATCCTGGGCTTCAGTGGTCGCGTATTGAAGCCGACCGGTCCAGTGGTACAGATCTTGGCTAGGATTGTGGGATTCTTCCAAGACGAGGTACGATATGCAGTTGAGCGCGGCGAACAGGTGCCTGAGCTGGTTTTACCTGCCAATCAGGAACTCCGCGTCCCGGAAGGGCTCGCCTCTCTTGGGGACAGACAGCTGAACGAGCTTCTCATCAACACGAAGTTCGCGAGACAGCTCCCCGGCGCCAAGGGCGTCAATGAGAGGATTGGATATGCCTTTAGAGCAGGGAGGACGGAGATCAGAGGCAGATCAGCTCAGCCACCGATTCCTAAGGCGAGGCCAACTACTCGAGCGACTGGCAGTGCACAGCGAGCTGGCTCAGTTCCTCCGAAGCCACGAGCACGCCCTCGCGACCCTTCTCCGGGAGTGGCAGCTACCCGTCTGCGGCCAACAGAGCCCAGCTATCCGCCACCCGGAAGGGATGTGCCAGGATCGTCAACGGATGCACCGATGCGTCCGCCCGAGCCAAAAGGGCCTCCGCCAACGACCTTGGTTGTCGATTCAAGGGGGAACCCTATTGACCCATCGCAGCCTCGCCGACCTTACTTTACCCGGCATGATGCGCTGCTTTGGGCTCGCCTCAAGGCATCTCGGGACAAGAACGTTCCCAGAGGAATGGAAGATCGTGCAGTACCAGCTTTTCACGATTTGAACGACTTCCACCTCCTGGCACCGGAGCATGTGGGCTACTTCCTCTCTGGCTGGAAAGAGACCCAAAACGGGATCCGCCTGTACTGACTGCCGCGTCTTGTGCAGTACAGTAGCAGCTAATTAACATTTTCGGTTCGTTGTGCTGTATTCTCCGCCCTGACGGGTCGGACATGTAAGAGTAGTTTATCTGCTCCATGTCCATTGTTCTGCCTCCCTGACGGGACGGCCTAAGTAAAGGGCCGGAACTGATGGGACATGGCACGTCAGGAGTGTTGAGATCTTTCTAAGAGCTTTGTTGCACCTAAGGTGTAAAAATCAGCCTGCTTTTGCATTCACAACATGTTGGTAGCATACTGTACTTCTACTTTCGCCTCTCTTCGCTGCCCTAAGAGGCGCGGGGGGTGTTTTATTGCTCTTTGTACGTATGTCTACCGACCTTTACTGTTGCATGGCTCAAGACAAAAAGTGTGTGTGCGATTCGTGCTATCGTGCACTATCTATAATTTTATATTTTCCCGTATTGGCTTAAGGGGATCTTGTGTACGCATATTTTTCAGAGGCTTTGATTGGCCAACCTAGACAAACCCGAAGCTTAAACCGCGACCAACCCTAACCCAAAACCTTAAACCCTAAACCCTTAAACCCTGAACCCAAAACCCTAAACCCTAGACCCTACACCCTAGACTCCTAGACCCCAGACCCCAAACCCTAGACTCTAAACCCTAAACCCCAAACCCTACACCAAAACTTGGCCAAAGGTCTGGTCGAAGATAAAGTCGATGAGGGTCTGATGCGGCTGGAGTGCATTCTCTGGCGAAAAAAAACGCCAAAGCTAGGATTTATCCAAGGGTAAAAGGAGGGACCCTTAATAAGGACCCCTAGGTATATACCCTTAATATAGCCATTATATACCAATTATATAGGCCACTATAGGGTAGGGGTCCCCATTAAGGGTCCTTCCTTTTCCCTTTGAATTTAGGACTGGCTGGGGGATGAGATGTTCGAGAGTTGCTTTTAGAAATTCTATAATGCTCGGTAATGGTTTGAGCTTTGGGCTCGGGCACTCGATGACTCTATGTTGAGAGCTGATTGTTTCTTAGCAAGGGCATTGCCAAACTTTCTGGAAGGTTTCACGGATTTGTGTGCAAAGCGTGGTCCCTGTTGGAGACCCGCTGCAGCGAACTACGAACCACTTTGCGGCATCATAATGTGGCCGCTGACTGCAATCCTCTCGACTCATTCTCGGAGAATACCACTATGCCTAAACCCTAAACCCCTAAACCCTAAACCATGCTTTAAATACAAACAAATTTAGGGGTAGCAGAGCAAACGAGCCTTACTTGGGCAGGACATAGGATTCTACCCAAACCCATATCCCAAGCGCCCCCTTTCATTTTCCCTGCCTGTGCCACCTAAGCTCAAAGCCTCGGCCTGCGGCACAAAACCTGCAACCAAAGGCCTTGACACAAGAGAAGCAGCTATCAACAAGCAGTCTTTGGAATAGCCTCCGCAAGAAACCGACCGCTGAAACAATGCCCGAACTCCGAATTTCCAAGCCTGCCTGCCCTAAACCCTAAACCCTAATCCCTAAACCCTAAACGCTAAACCCTAAGCCTACCTGCCTGCCTACCTGCCTGCCTCTATCTACCGCGCTAGCTTCTGCTTGAGAACCCCTTGTCTATACATTTGTATTAATTTATATCTCTATCAGTGTTCACGCATGTGTATATGTTTGCATGTTTACATGCATACATGAACATACATATATATATATATGTTTTATTTGTTTATTTATTTTTATCTATGTGCATGTACATGCATAGACGTGCCCACTGGTTGCCTGCTCTCTGGGTGCCGTTTTGGATCAGAGTCGTCATCGCTTTGGCCCGGCTCCTGTTTGCGAGGCAAGGGTTGCTCTAAACCATGAATCCTACTACACCCTACTTGGAGACTCATGGGACTTAGTAAGTAAGGGGTTATACTTAGGATAACCCTACTTAGGGGACTTATAACCCCACTTATAACCTACTCACTAAGTCCCATGATCCTCCAAGTAAGTCCTCAGAGCCTCAGGATTCACTTGGGGCGGGGGCAAAGGTTAGTTTCCGGCGGGCCTTCAGGAATTTATCAAGTGACTACACTGATAGGACAGTTGTCATGCTTTCAGGTCCTCTTGCAAGTCTTTCGCAACCTGCTGAGAGGAGAAGGTTGTAGCTTTGTCTTTCTTGTGAGTACGATTACCCTTGAATGGGGTGGCTGCAGGCTGCAATTGGGAAGGCATGAAGACCTCAAATCCTAAACTCCCGACGCGCTTTAACCCTAAGACCTTCTGAGTTCTTGTTATTGTTAGGGAAAATAATGTAAGTTACCATAAACAGGGATCTATAGCAAATGATAGGGTTTCCTTATTATGGTAATTTAAATTAAACTCCTTAACACGACCCCAGTAAAGAACGGGTTTGAGTTCTTTCGAGGGCTTTGACAATACCAGGGCTTTAGGTGTTTAGGGTCCTGCGGTCGGGTTCCTGGGTGCCCAGTGGGGAACGCTTTAGGTTATAGGGTTTAGAGATTGGGGTTTAATAGCTTTAAGCTTCAGCTTGTCGCATGAAACGAAATACCCTAAACCCTAAACCCTAAACCCCTAAACCCTAAACCCTAAACCCCTAAACCCCTAAACCCTAAACCCTAAACCCCTAACCCCTAAACCCTATACCCTAAACCCCTAAACCCCTAAAACCCTAAACCCGACAGGCCAAAGTTCCTCAGTGCGATGGCGCAGGCACGGAGACTGCGTTGCCCAGTTTTGGTTTTAAGGTTTAGGGTTTAGGGTTTAGGGTGCAGGCACAGACTGTGTTGCCCAAATTTGGTTTTAGGGTTGTCTCGGTTTGAGTGTGCTTCTTGTCGAAATTGGTTGTACGATCAAGGGTTAGTTCTGTACGATGGAAGATTTGGCAGTGTGTAAATCTTCCACTGCTCTCATGTTACTCATGTTGTGAGGATTCTATCAGGATCACAAAGTTCAATACGGTGGTTCCAGAAGTCAGCCCTTGAAATTTCGAGTCACTTTGCCGACACGGGGTGCGATGATGGTGGTGCTCCTGTGATGACGATGGCGGTGGATTGCCTTTGCTGGCGATAAGGCAGTGGTTATGAAGGCAGAAGTGAATGTAGTCTTGCTTAATTAGTAACGCTCTCCCTACCCGGCGGCAGCTTTCGATTTAGTTGTCTGTCAGTCGTCCAACGATGTCAGGATGCGCAGGTGGTGGATGAGATCGCGCAGCTCCTGGATCAGTGCGCTACACAGTTTTCACTCCAAGCCCTAAACCCTAAATAGACTTTGCTGCAAGCCTTACCTTACTTCCGTTGCTCCTACCTCTGCAGCAGCTCCGAAAGCCCTCAATACCGTTGAGTATAGAGGAATCCTATATAAATATGACTTTATTAATACATAGTAGTGGGTTTTGCAGAGTCTGGGAAGCCTGAACCCAGATGGGGAGGCTCATTCTCATGGCAGGTGTCTAGAACTTAGCGCTGGGTTTGTTGTGTCTGTACAGTGCTTGTGGGTAAACTCCACAGGCCTTTGGAAACTTTTGGGGTCGTTTATGGTATGCTTCTTCCATGAAGGGATCTCCAACATATCGCATGCCTAAGATTTGAAAGCCTAATCATCCGTAAACCCTGATAGTGTGCTCCTGGGGGCAACCCGCTGCGTGTAAATGGAAAATGGCTGCAGAAGTCATCACCCTCTACCCGCCCTCGCAGTATCCAGTCGAAGGAAATCTTTGCCTTTACGTTGGAAAGTAATGCAAGGGTGAAAAGGACAAGACATCACAGTGAAAGTGTGTGTGTGTGTGTGTTGTTGCTTTCTTGTTTGGGTCCTTTGCCTGCTTCCTTTCAGTACGTTCATCCATTGCCAAAGGGCACAACTGCAACCAAGTAGCAACAAAGACACACCGTAAAATAAAACGCAGCGCGCGAGACAATGACGGGAACGAACCCAAAAACCAATTTAATTTACACAAGAGGACGAGGAACATGCAATAACGCATGCCTTTTGCTCTTGGTTTCGCTGACGCTGTCAACCATCGTTCGGAAGTCACTTGCTTTATTGCTTTCATGCTTCTCTCGTTCCTCGTTCCATTCAAAAGGACCAGGAAACAACTAGCTTGCGACAGCACCCAGCATAGGCGTTGCTGTCGGCTGAAATGAAGGACCTCGCAAATCTTGCAAGTTCCCTGCAAAATCTTGCAGCACCGATAAGACCCTCTACAATCTTCTCGACCCATGAAAACCCTTCTAAACCGTGTAACTCCCCTGTAGAACGTTCCAATACGCTGTGCAACCCTGTATACAACAAGCATTTGCCTGTGAAGCCCCTCAAAAGCAAAACCCCCCAAGCCGTGTAACCCATTTTTCAGATAGTACAACCTCATACACCCCCGAGAGAGATGGGCCAAAAAACGGTATGGTATAATCGCCCACAACAGCCTATGTTAGATCCTCAACCCTGAACTCGAAACCAGAACACCCACACCCTGACCAAAACCTCAAATCCCAATCTCCAAAACCCCAAAGCCTAGCACCCTAAACCCTAAACCCTAAACCCTAAACCCTAAACCCAAGCACCAGCAGCCCCAAACCCCAAACCCAAAACCTCCATGGTGTGATGCGGACAAAGGCCCCAACCCACTAAAACTAGCTGAGCTTCAAACTGTAAACCTAAGCCCTAGCAGCCCAACTCCCCAAGCTTCTCAGGTGTTGCATTCACTATGTGACATTGCAAAAGAGCCCTTAGCAGAAAGCCTGAGGTGAAATTGTCAAAATTGTTCCCCAGGGTTCCAGGAGAGAGAGAGAGAGAGAGAGAGAGAGAGAGAGAGAGAGAGAGAGAGAGAGAGAGAGAGAGAGAGAGAGAGAGAGAGAGAGAGAGAGAGAGAGAGAGAGAGAGAGAGAGAGAGAGAGAGAGAGACAGAGAGAGAGAGAGAGAGAGAGAAAGAGAGAGAGCATAATGGCCAAAAAAAATTCTACTATCAAGACGCTTAAAAAGTGGTAGTCACTACGCGTAGTTCGCAAAGAACGAATGCGAAATTAAACGCAAACCCAACACTTTAAACCACAAACAGGTGTTCAACCCAAACCCCACATCTAAACACCTAACGCTCCAAAATCCTGAACTATTCTGTTCCTTTGTGAGTGTACTATATTGGACAGCAAAGCCTCATTCAAACGATTCGGGCTCGCACATTCATCTCAAGACTTCAGCGCCTTGAATAGAACCTTCAACTCTAAACCCCTAAACCCTTAAACCCGAAACACCTAAACCCTAAACACCTGAACACCTCAACCCTAAACCCCTAAACACCTGAACACCTAAACCCTAAACCCCTGAACCCTTATAAACCCTAAACCCCAAATACCTAAACCCTAAACCCGAAACACCTAAAAACCTAAACCCTAAACCCCTAAACCCTAAACCCCTTTAAGAACCCTTAAAGGAACCCCTATAGATCCCTTTATAAAGGGAACCCAAAAGCCGCCCTGAGGTGCAAGCCCGAGGAGCTGAACGAGATCCTCGCCTCGATCGAAAGTAGCGGATCGGCGGCCGGGGGCCGAGGGGGCGGTTAGGGGTTTTAGGCGTTTAGGGGTTTAGGGCTAAGGTTTAGGGGTTTAGGGTTTAGGGTTTAGGGCTTAGGGGTTTAGGGCTTAGGGGTTTAGGGTTTAGGGTTTAGGGCGAGGGCGGTTCCCAGAGACTCCAATATCCCTTAATTAAGGAATATACCTTAAACTATAGTAGGGTCCCCAATATGATTTAAGGTATATTCCGTAATCAGGGGGCATTGGAGTCTCTGGGTTTGAGTCAGGGTTCAGGGTGGGGTTCAGGATTCAGGGCATTAAGGGTAAGGCTGTGCAAAGTTCAGGGTTTGGGGCTCGAGGTTGAGGTTTTGGGGTTCGGGGTTTATGGGGTTTAGGGTGGTTCAGGGTTCAGAGTTAAGGGTAAGGCTGTGCAAAGTGATGATGTTTTTGGTTTCAGTTTTTTCACCTTGCGCCCTTCACGCCCAACCTCCGAGAGGGTTGTTTAAAGATACCACCATGTACCGCTGTACCACAGAGCCCTATTCAAATCATTGTGGCCCTTATGGCAGAGTTCAGGCGGCGGCGGCTGTTCTGCGGGTCCTGAAGAAAGGGAACGCATATCCGTTAAAAGCCAGCAAGATGGAGACCTACCGGGACCTACCGTATGACGATGCACTTAGTTGCCCTCAGAGTTCCAGTGCAGCTTGCACTGGGAGTTTAGGAGAATGTGTTTTTGCTTTCCATTGTGTGCGCCTTTTCAGGTTTTTTCTGTTACCGTAAGAACACTCATACTCTAGGGCAGCGTGCATTCGAAGACTCAGTCCTGTGAGTACTTCTGTGACGATGACGGTCGTGACGATGATGCTGATGATGACAATGATGGTGTTGATGATGACTGTGTCGAGACGACTGCGGTTGTGACAAGGATAATGGTGATGGTTATGCTGGTTATGATGAAGGTGCTGATGTTGATTATGCTGAATAATGTAGTACACGATGGGGAGGCACGTTACATCTTGCTTCGATTGCATATCTATCCAGCCTATTCACCCCCTAGATGGCGTGCGGTTTCTTCTGTTGCATCACTCACTCGTTCATCCAGCCGTTCCTTCATATGTGCATGTAAATGTTTACGTGCATGGTAAACCATAGCCCCCAAACCATACTCAAGCCATTAGGTCCCATGTCATGATCCTTAAATCCCTTCGATCTGTGCAGTGCAGGATACTTGCTTTCGGGCCTACAGGTTCAGAGCTCCGTCTTGAAATATTTACGGTTTGGGAGGAAGTGAGGGCTTCAAATGCTCAAACATAAGAAAGTGGCTTTGAGTGTTTCAGTGAAAGGATGGGAGGCCCACTGAATTGAACCGAGCCAAAGTTGTGAATGGTGCTTCTTCCTCAGGGCTCTTTGCAGCCCGTGCCACCTGCTGGACCACCACCAGGCGTGCAGCTCATCCTTTGCACGAAACCCTACACCCTAAAACCCTAAACAAAGCTTTAAAGCCCTTCCCTAAAGACTGAACCCTCAACCCCAAAACCCTAACTAAAGCCTTAAAGCCCATCCTTGAAAGCCCTGAACCCCAAAACCCTAAATAAAGCCTTGAAGCCCCTCCCTAAAGCCTGAACCCTGAACCGTAAAGCCCTCAAGCCCTAAAACCCCAAACTTCGAAGACAGCTTGAGGCTTTCTCGGTGCTGAGGCTTCATTGCGGGGTTGTTCAGGGTTTCAGATTTCACAGGACCTATCAGGCTTTAGGGTTAGGGTTTAGGGTTTTAGGCTTTCTTGCTAAGGGCTTCATGGCTTCGGGTTTAAATGCTTCAGGGTTTATTGCTTTAGGGTTGAGGGTTTTAGGCTTTAGAGGTCCAGGCTTTATTTAGGGTTTAGGATTGGATTGGGGCGTGCGTTTTGCTCCTGTTCTTTCCGAACGGACGCAGTCTCAGATAGCGCAGGCTGCCACTCCGGCCAGGGCCGATTCTGTGGGTTTCCTGTTTAGTATTCGGTACTCATGTTGAGTCAGGCCATGTCCCCGCGCTTTTGGAAGCCGAAATGGCAGGATCCGTACTACAGGAATCCCCAAACCAACAAGCTACGCTGGTTTTCTGACATTCACAAACAAGCCCGAACACTCTCGAGCCCAGAACAAAGAATGATACTCTCAAAGGAAGCGTGGTAGAGAAGTCCTGTGCTGGTGAGCCACAAACCCTAAGCTAAACGCATAGCCCAAAACCCCAAAAGACCCAAAACCCTAAACCTTACGCTCTAAGCCCCCAATCCCCTGAAGCCCCGAAAGCCCTAAGCCAAAACTCCTGGCGCTCCAACCCCACCCTCCTAAGCCAACAAAACCGCGAAGCCCGACACCCTATCAGGCCATTCAGAATTACATGTTCAGCATCGTTCAGAAGAACATAAAGCCCATTAAAGCCTTGAAAGCCTTATACTTGAAGCCTAAATTAAACCCTGCGAGGCTTGTAAACCGCCGCCGGAGGAAACAAAGCATCACCCTAACCCTAAACCCTAAATCCTAAACTAGCTTGCCAGGTGGTCGGCGGCCCATGCCCGGGATTAAGCCTACTGAGGCATTGCTCTTAGGGTTAGGGTTTGGAGTTTCGGGTTCCTTTAAAGGGATCTACAGGGGGTTCCTTTAGAGGCATCTACAGGGGTTTAAGGTTACAGGGTTAAGGAATTACTTACCTCTGGTTAGTAGGGAATGGAAGAATGGTGGTAGTAGTAGTAGTAGTAGTAGTAGTAGTAGTAGTAGTAGTAGTAGTAGTAGTGGTAGTAGTAGTAGTAGTAGTAGTAGTATATAGTAGCAGCAGTAGTTATAATTGTACCCCATTCCTCCATTCCCTACTAACCAAAGGTAAGCGGAAGGGTCCGTGCTCGTGGGTTTTTAAGGGTCCTTTTTCCTGCTTCAGGTGTTTCTTTTATTTCAAGCGTTGAAGTTTGGGCTGTTAGGGGCGAGGGGTCCGGGTTTGGGCCTGGAGTTTAGGCTTTAGGGTTTCGTAGCCTCAAGTTTCATACAAGGGGGGGTGAGGGGGGTCGTGACACCGGTGGGTTGGTGTTTGGGGGTTCAGGGTTTGCGGATCAGGGTTTAGGATTTAGGACTCAGAGTTTGGGGGTTCAGGGTTTCTGGATGTTTCGGGATTAGGGTTCAGGGCTGAGGGTTCGGCGTTTCGGGTTTAGGTTTAGAAGCCCCCGATAGAACCTTTCCTTGTAAGTCCCTATCTCATTGCATCATAATACAGCCCCCAGGCCAGATTCCTACAATATGGATGCCTGGAAAGCTCGTATAAAGCCCCATCAGGCCCTCACAAGCCCCAAACTCTAAATCCTGGGAAGGACCATCAGAGAGAAAAAACCCATGGAAACTTTGCCTGAAGCCTGAACCCTCAAAGCCCCTAACATCAGAAGCCGCGAAACCCTCATCACTGAACTAGGGGGAGGGGTAAGCCTTTGGATCCCCTTCCCTCAAGAATGCTACTATGATCCTATAAAGCTAACACTTTCCTATATCAACTCGTTCAGGGCTTAGGGTTTGTTAAGAATACTACTACGATTCATAACTTTCCTATGCCAACCCAACGATCAATACCTCCTCTGTCCGCGAAGGCAGAGGGTAACGTGCTGAGCAAGGACCTGGGACCACGGGGTCTCCCACCTCGCTGGAGATTAAGAACACTACTAGGATCTGGAGTAGGCCCTTATTCCCTTTTTGTAGGGTTCAGGTTCCCTTATAAGCCCCTTTAACCCAAAAAGGGCACCCTTTTTATTCCCAGGTTACTCTTGGGTCTAGAATAAGAAGAAGAACCTCCCAAAAAATTGGAGCATCATTGTCCCCATGCCCTTAAGGTACAGTATAAGGGATCCTAGCACTAATCCTCCTAGGAGGCCAAAAGGGGGTTTAGCCTATGGGGGTTTAGTAGGGATTAGGATTAGGGCTCCCAGAATAAAGCTCATATTTAGGACTCCCTACCCCAAGAATCTTAAACCCCCCTTTTGGCCTCCCATCACCCACTTCGCTGAATATTAAGAACACTAAGAAGAAGAATCTCCTAAACCCTACCTGTATCCGAAAAGACCTACCTTTCCAAGGAACTATATATAGAAACCATAATAAGGAGCCCTAAAAAGGTATGTCGTTTCGGCTACAGGTAAGCCCTAAACCGTCATGTCCAGGAGCTTAGCCGACAGCAGAAAAAGATCATAGACAGCATGCTAGGCATGTTGGGTCAGAACCCCAAACCGCAAACCCTAACTGGGGTTGAAACAGACTTTGGGACTGTAGGCTCCCATAAAAAGGGTCTGGAACATGAGTAGTTTTACCTAGTCACTATAATACCTATATATCAATTTATTACGATATGCGCCAACACCACATTCAAAGGGCTATGGCCCCTATGTTAAACTACTGTAGAGGATCATTTAGGGTTCCAAGGGGTCCGGAAGCTCACCCTGCATCCCAAACCCTCTTCCCAAACCCCGAAACTCTGGGCTCTTGAGTACCATACTTTAACTCTTTTTTCCTTCAAGGAACCATTATGAAATGAGAGTTTCTACTTTTTCTCCCTGGTCACTTGAAACCCCAAAACTCTAAACATAGAAACCCTAGACCCTGAACCCCTAAACCCTGACGGGGTCATTTTCAATACCACCAGGATGAAATACGGAAACTGCTGGACGAGCATAGCGCTGGTGTGATCTCGGAGGCCGGCCGAGGTTTGGGGGTGTTTTCAGAGCTTTGGGGTACTTATAAATATATATATATATATATATATAAATGTATGTATTTTTTTTTATCTCAGGTTCCTGTAATCCCTAAGAAACAGCTAGACCCGATATTTTTTGCTCGTTAATTTAAGCTGAGGGATCTATAGTAAATACTGTAGTTTCCTTATTTCCCCTCAACAAGATCCCAGTTTTGGGTGTTGGGCGGGATTTTAAAGTCCATGGCTTCAAATCTGCTATGCCTGCTTTAAACCGCCGGCTAACTATTGAATCAGGCAGAGTTGTCAGTGCTATCTGGGACAATATACCTTGCTAGTTTGTATAGTTTCGATGTGCGAATAATCAGGTTGCTGTTCTTGGTTACGGGAAGAGAAACCTGAAAAAAACGCAACTCCTGCAGCTGATCCGGAGCCTGAAGGCATGAGGTACTGTAGAAGGAGTTAGGGTGTAGAGGCTTAGGATTTAGGGATTCCTTGGGGTTCCTTGTTATAGTTATACTATGAAGGGGCCAAAACCCTATTCTAAGTATTAAGGCCTCTGTATGGGTGGTTGTCAAAATTAGGGTGCCTTTTTGGGTCCCTATTGTAGTACGGATTCAAGGTACCCAACAAGGAGCCATAATTTGGACAACCATCTATATTGACAGAGCAGCTGGTCGGTTTTTTGCTAGGTTTTTAAGTTTATTTGTTGTGGGTATTTCTCTTATGGGGCTTCTGCAACAGGCTTACCTTCCAAGGACGAGCGCAGGCACGCCCTAAACCCAAAGGAGGCCTACAAAACTCATCACAGTAGGTCTTTGAGACGGGTTCTCGGTACTAGTCATAGACACCCTTCTTGTATATCCCCAAAGGTTTGCACTTTTGGCTCCCTCACAAACTAGTCGAGTCGGTTGTTTTAGAGCTGCTGCCAGGTGCGAAAGCTCATCCCCTCGATCTCCACCGGCGTCATGGACACAATTGACATCGCCGCTTGCCTTCCAGTCCGACAGTGTTTTTTCTTTTTCAAGTTCCAATAAGCTATCAGAGGTTAGGAGGAGCTGCAGGGCTAGCTTTCGATTTTCGCAGGGTCCAGGCCGGGGTAGCATGAGGTTTGGGGCGTTCGCTTCGCTGTGCTTCGGCGTAGCTCTAAACCCTAAACCCTAAACCCTAAACCCTAAGGCAGCACGTGTATCGAGTTTCCTGGGCTGGTAAAATCTGCCAGAAAGTTGCCTCGGGGCACGCAGTTCAGCAACTAGGCCGGAGTCTTGGAGTCGAGGTTCCTGGTTTAGGGTTTAGGGTTTAGTACTCTTTTGCCCTTTTTACTTTAGCGTCCTCTCACCAAAACCGAATAGTAGGAAAAGGGTACCCTTACTATGAAGGGGCTACTTAGGAACCTGGGAGTAGTTGTTGTATGTAGTCTGAGGCCTGAATAATCACTAGCAGTCTCTCTTGTAGTCGCTATTTAATGTCGAAATATACCAAAACTCTGGTCTAATTTGGCGCCCCAAGACTACGGAATGCATCCATATCACAGTCTAGGTATCGATATGGGATAAGTTTTAATTTCCCTTATACATAGAGAACGAATTTAAGATGATAATTGGGACATCTTTAACATAGAGCCCTATTTACAAAAAGTTGGGACTGTTGAAATCGACACCCTTATTCTTTCATATAGAGCCCCAAATTACAAGAATGGGGACTGTTGACCTCGAATCGCAGTTCTGGAATTGCAGGTCGAGTCGCAGGTTCCCAGCAAGTGGTTTCTTCTGTGATGCTTAACCCTGGGGTTTAGGGATTTAGGGTTTAGGGGTTTAGGGGTTTTGGGATTGAGGGTTTAGGGGTTTAGGGGTTTTGGGATTGAGGGTTTTGGGATTTAGGGTTTAGGGGTTTAGGGTTTGGGATTGAGGGTTTAGGGGTTTAGGGTTTTGGGGCTTAGGGGTTTTAGGTTTAGGGGTTTAGGGTTTAGGGACCTTATTATGGGTTACGAAGTATACAGTGTAATATTTATCACCAGTTGCCTTCTTTTGTGAAGCTTAACCCTGGGGCTCCAGTTAACTGAATGAATGGGAGTATCCGGAACAGGGGACCGTAATATAGTATCCTAAATAGCAGGATCCTTATTATAACAAACTCTAAATGTTGCTCATTTCTTGTGCATTCAATCCTATACTTTAAACCCCAACCCATGAACGCTAAACCCCAAAACGTAATCCCTACACCCTACACCCAAAAATCCTCAACACGCGCTGGAACGCATGAGCCGAAGCAATTGCGAGTATTGCAACCTTTTGGTCGCAGAGCACTTCTCACGTGCCCTAGATGAACACGGACCACTCGTTCAGAACTCGATCATCCATTGAACTCGAAAGCGCATCGCTGTCTCCTGATGGGTCCGAAGCCATCGTCAAGTCGGATTGGTCCCAAAAGGCCCCGAGTTTTATGCGGGGTTTAGGGTTTAGGTTACAGGGTTTAGGGCGTAGGTGTTGGGGTGTGACGTTAGTATTCAGGGTGCGGGGCTGCTGGGCTGAAGGGCGCGGTTTAGCGCGGCTTGGGCGAGTGAGGGTTTAGGGTTTAGTTAGGGCTCTTGGGGTTTCATTTGTGAGCAGTTAGAATAGTCGGGTTAAGGGCTATGCGAAGCACGTCGGCCGGGAAGAGACTGCTTCCTGAGATTTGGTTTATGGCTTGCAAACAAGTTTGCAAGATCTGCAGTCTTACGGTTCCCAAATGTGTGATAAGTAACAACTCGCACGAGAACAATCCCAGAAGTTTGAACCCTAAACCCCCACGCCGACTACAGCGAACACCAGAAAGTTGGAACACGGGTTTAGGATGATTTGTGCTAGGATCCGTTGTGCTATACCTTAAGGGCAAGAGGATTAATGTTCCAACTTTATGGCCTCTACCATATGTAAGCCCGAAACTCACGCCCAGGCAACCTTGACACAAGCCTTGGCAGAGCGTGACCAAGAGGTGAAAGTGCTGGAGGCTGGTGCCCAAACCCTTAAAGGGAACTCCAGAAAGTTGGAATATGGTTTCAGGGTAGGATACCTTATAATTTTCCATAAAGGGTTTAGGATAATCATATTCCAACTTTCTGGCTTTTACTTTAAACGTTAGTCGGCGTTAGTCCCGGTTTGCTATGACGGGTACTGTGAGTCAGGCCGGAATTCCGGTCTACAAACAAGGGCTTTCGCATGGGTTGTAAGGGCAAGTCAGAGCACTCGGCTTTGCACTGCAGAGCGAGTTCAATTCAAAGTCGGACGACCTCAGGGAAGCAGGTCTCAAGATGCTACAGAAAACTGTCGATGGTATGAAGACTCGTCTGATCGAACTGGAGGATTTGGAAGGTACCCTGATTCAGCCATGGGCGAAGCTCCAGAAGAAAATGCCTTCTCTTTTGCCAGGTGCGGCAGCTTACGAGGGGAAACCGCTCCAGTCCCTCATGGATGCCATGTCTGTCATCAAAGACGGTGGGGTTGGCGTCTTCCGGGACTCAACGGGTTCGACGGAGTTCAAGAGTACTGCTTTTACTCGTCTCAAGGCCACAGCCGAGAAAGCAGCTTGGGACGACCATCTGGGCAAATACGAACTCGTCGACAGATCTTTTGCGGCCTTCATGAAATGGACTTCTCCTGTACGACTGCGAGCCCTCAAGACAGAAAAGACAGATATGTCCAAGGAAGCTCTCGAGCATCTGCACGAGGGGGCCACCGAGCTTCCGCCCCTGTGCAAGTGGGAGCAGGAGGAGGTCACAGGCCCAGAACCGATCCCGGGGAAGATCAACCCAGGAAAGCTGAGCCCAACCATCAAAAGGCTGCCTCTGGCTCCCGGACGCACGGGGGCAACCCGCTCTTAATGGCTGCAGCTTCACACCCTAAACCCCTAAACCCTAAACCCCTAAACCCTAAACCCTAAATTAGGGTTGCGGAACCCCACGGCCGCAAAGCTCCGAAGAACCGACAGGCCTCGAAACAGGGAACAGGCACCCAAGGGTTCCTGAAAGGGTTACTATAAGGGTACTATAAGGGTTCCTTTAAAGTGCTCTATGAGGGTTCATACATGGGGTTATTTTCCGAAGATTCGGGGTGCCTTATGTTCGGGTCCTTATAAATAAGGATCCTAGAACTTAGGGTACTGTATTATTAGGGTTCCCTTATTCTCGGAAACTCCCATATAAGTGATGCGATTGTGGTTTCGAGAAGAGTTAAGAGGTAGATTCTTCAAAATGAGGGGTCTTGGGTTTAGGGTTTAACCCTTAACACCAACCACGTCCATCGGATAGTCACCGCTGCCTCTGCCAAAACTGTAAGACTCTGTGTTGAAGGCTGTGAACCTGTGGGATTCGGGAGCTTTGGAGATCAGCTGTTTTCTTAGGGGTGCTTAGAAATAATGTTTAATCCTTGGTTCCTTTAATCCCAGCCAAAATTATGATTTTGGCTAGGGGTCTAAGCTCAGTATAGTTTTGAGACAAGCAAACGCATGCTTCGAAACCCCCAAGCCCTAAATATTTTAGACCCTGAAAAGCATTGCATGAAGCCTTGTGCAACTCATACTACACATTATGACAAGTATGATACTCTGCACAACCCTAAACCCTAAACTGAGATCTTACAGAAACCCTAAACCCTAAGCCCTTAAAAAAAAGCCGAAGCCCTAGACCCTAAACCCTAAACCCCTAAACCCTAAGCCCTAAGCCCTAAACCCTAAACCCTAAACCCTACCCCCTAAGCCCTAAACCCTAAACCCTAAGCCCTAAACCCTAAACCACGCGCCGGAAGAGCACCCTCTGCGCTGCCAGGCCCGCCTTGCGGAGTTACAGACGGACCTGTCCCAGAAGGCCTCCTGGGTTACCTTAGACTTAGGGGTACTTAGAAATATTTTTAAATTTTTGGTTATTGCAATCCCTAAGAAACAGCTGAAAGATGTTTTTTTGCTAGGGTTCTAAGTTCAGTAAAGTAGATAGCCTTAGTAGGTTACCTTACTTAAAGGATCTTGGGACTTAGTAACTAGGGTTATTATTGGGGTAACTATACTTAGAATTACTTATAACCCCAATTAAGGGACTTATAACTGTGGTTACTAAGTCCCATGATCCTTCAAGTAGACAGCCTTAGTAGGGAATGGGGGATTGGGTCATAGGGACTACTATAGGGACCCTTAAGGGACTATCATAGGTATTCCCCCATTCCGTACTAAGAACCAGACAGTAGTAGCTGAGAAGGGAGACACTTCACACAATTTGAGATAGTATTAGCCACTTCAATACTGAAAGTGTACACGTTTGGGGCTTATGAACTCCGCAACTAAGTAGCCAATTGGAGAACTTTACGGCCTTCTATCTTTGGTCTATCTTACAAAGTTTGAAACTTTAATTTTGGGTCCGGTTATTGAAGAAGAGAGGGTTGGGACATAGGGTTTAGGGTCTTAAGCACCTTTAGCCCCCAGAACCCTAAATCCCACACCTCTAAAGACAGAAGGACTCCAGGGAGTCGGTGTTGAGGGCTTAAGATGGCGAACACCGACATCATCGCGACAAACCTTGGAGGTACTTAGAAATGTGTGTTTAATCTTTGGTTCCTTGAACCCCTAAGAAACAGCTAAAAGCATACCGACCGAGAGACTCCAATATCCCGTGAAAATGGAATATTCCTTACATCGTATTAGGGAAGTTGATATGATTTAAGGAATATTCCCTAATTGAGTGATATTGGAGTCTCTGGGGACATCATCCTGAAGAACATGCATAATTGGGTATCACGAAGAATGACTATTGACATCTGTTTCGCTTACCCCCCCCCCCCAAGCCCCAAACCCCATCCCGTCAAGTCTTTTGATGTACACCTGTTAATCGCAAGGTTCCTGTTTAGTACCCTGTTGCTCTGTTTCCTTTCGGGTTTCCTTACTAGCACAGAATAGTAGGAACAAAAGGTACCCCTATTGTAAAGATTACAAATATTAAAAAGGGGCTACTCAAGAACCTAGAACTCAACCCTAAAGACCTAAACCCCCAACCCTAAACCCCTAAACCCTGACCCTAAATCCTAACCCCAAATCCCTACCCTATAAGGCTTTTAGGGGTTTGGGGTTTACGGTTTTGGTGGTGTGGGGTTTAGGGCTTTAGTTTACACCCCTCCCCACTCTCGATCCGCCACAAGCCGGACCTTGCCCACGAAAGCCACAAAGGGTTTCAATCGCTGTATGAAAGAGAGGGTGCAGGAGTCAGAGTACCACTAAAATCCCCAAAACCTAATCATGAATGCCCTAAACCCTAAACCCATAAACCCCTAAAGGTACCCCAATATTGACAGACCCCAAACTCGGAGCCCTAAGCCCGAAGGACAAGCATGTGGCAGAGCTTGGAGGGGAGCCCTTGACTCAGCGGACTGGGGGTTCAGGGTTTAGGGCTTAGGCTTGTTTCGGAGATTTTAGGGATTCTAGGCTTTTTGGTGAATAGGATTGTGATATAGGGTATTTATAGAGGCTTATGGTGTTATTGTGTGGTGGTTGTGGTTGTTGGGGGTGTTGGGTCTGCGGCTTAAAAATGTCGGGGCTTAGTCTCCAGTGATGGTTGGGTTGAAACGTTTAGGGTTTGACCGAGTTTGCAAGCAAATAATTTCCCCAGGCTTTTTCATTGGTTTCAATTATATAGATTCTGAAAGGTTGTTTTACCCTCGGGAGTAGCTCGGAGTAGCAGGTTTATAGATCTTGGCCAACATGATTTGGGATTCGTTTGGGCACTGTACGAAGTTGAAGGGTGTAGTGTAGAAGCCTTAATAATCAAAATCGCGTCTTTGGTATGTCATACAAAAGACTATAGGAGCTTAGCCAAGGACTAGTAGCAACATGCAGACTTCTATGTTTCGGCTTGTGGTGCGGCTGCTTACGGACGATGTTAGGCTGTGCGGTCATGGAGCTGTTTTCGCTTAGGGTTTAGGGGTTTGGAGTTTAGGCTTCTGGCTGAGTTGTAGGATTGCCGGTGCGGGGCCTGACATGCTGGGGTTGTGAGGGGGATTTCTGTTTTATGCCACAAAGTTTAAGGATTCAGGCTTTGCCCACAAGGGTTGAGGGTGTTAGGGGTTGAGGGGTTAGGGTTGAGGGTTGAGGGTTTTAGGGGTTTAGGGTTTGGCGTTTTGGGTTGGAGTTTAAGTAAGGGCTTGGACATTCAGTGTAAAGCTGCTCATCCGTTACGGCTTGGAGCTTCGAGGCCAGCACACCAACAATCTTGAACTTGAAAGAGCTCGTAGAGGAGTCCAGTTTCCTAGAGACTCCAACATCCCTTAGTTAAGGAGTATTCCTTAAATCATATTAACTAAGAACTCTGGTTTGGTTTTCGGAATATTCCTTATTTCAGGGATATTGGAGTCTCCAGGTCTAGCAGGTCAGCATGTCGGGGAAGGTCAAAGGATATTTTAGCATCGCTTACCTCCAAGTTTTGAGTGGTTAGGCTGACCCCAGACCCCAAGCCCTAGTATGGAGGCCTAGAAAGGTAAACTATTTTTGGGGGGTTCCTTGTTTTATAGTCTAGTAAAATGGGCCCCCAAACCCTATCCTAATCATTCAGGCCCCGATACTTTCTTTCCCGCTGTGGATCTCCGGTTGAGGATGACTACTCTTTGAAGCTCGAGGTGTGATTTGCAAACGCATTTTCACGGAGACTTATTCAACTTATAGGGTTTAGGCTTTTAATTTTTTTGGTTTAGGCTCTAAGGTTTTTAGGGTTTAGGGAGCACTGGAAGGATCATCGGACTTAGTATGTACGGGTTGGTGGATCGCAGTACGCGTGATGTCTAAATCATCCTTTTTGCTGGAGAGGCTGTCACACTGGTGCTTGTCAGAAGTCTTGCTTACAGGACTCGGACCTAGAGTAGGCCCTTATTCCTTTTTTTGGGGGTTCAGGTTCCCTTATAAGCCCCTTTAAACCAAAAAGGACACCCTTTTTATTCCTAGGCTACTCTTGGGTCTAGCTACTTAAAGGATCATGGGACTTAGTAACTAGGGTTATGGGTCTAGAGGACGAGCTTGGACAGGTCAAACGTGACTGCGTCCTTGGACCCGACTTTTTCGAGGTCGTGGGCTGGCCCAGCACTTCGTCCGACGAATTTCTACTATTTGCTTAAGAACACTCAAAAAATAAAAAATATATTCCTTATAGGGGTAATATAGGGATTATCATTTTTTTTTGGTGGGTTCTTAAGCAAATAGTAGAGTTTGTAGCCGCCACCCAGCTCGTCATCGAACACCGCCTCACGCCGGAAATCTGCAATTATTGTTCTGGCTCCGGATTTGCATGGGCCCTGCAGCTGCATTTTTGGCACGCAGCATTCATACACCTCCCTAGACTGGGAGGTGCCTGCCAGCACATCCTACATCATGGATGTCTTCAGCATCCTGGAAGGTCGCTTGAGGGCCCTTGGTATGCTGTCGTTGAAGGAAACGACAAAGGCGGTGGCTGGAGCCGCTGCAGCCCTAAACCCTAAACCCTGATCCTTCTGAAGGAGGGTGCAAAAGAAAATCCCTAAACCCTAACCCTTCTCAAGGAGGGTGCAAAACAAGGCACCCCAGAAGGACAGCTACCCCTGACGCCCCAAACCTAAACCCTGACCTTGAAGAATTAACCCTAAAACTCTAAATACCCTACAGCGCCTGAACCCGTTTATACTAACCCTTAGACGAACCCATATAATGGGCGGTACATGGCGTTTCAACAAAACAAGCAACGACGGCACCCTAAACCCTTAACCCCAAACCCTGAACCCTAGAATCTAAACTTCAGAACCCTAGACCCTAAACCCCAAACCCTGAACCCTAAACCCCAAACCTTAGAACCCTAGACCCCAAACCCCAAACCCTGAACCCTAAGCCCTCAACCCTAAACCCTAAACCCCAAGCCTTACAACCCTAGACTCTAAACCCTGAACCCTAAACCCTGAACCCTAAACCCTGCACCCTAGACCTTAAACCCTAGAACCCTAAACCCTAGAACCCTAAACCCTAGAACCGTAAATCTTAAAGAACCTAAACCCAAGTTCGAGTGCCGGCCTGTGAGGCTGGATGCGACCCTTCGGGAGGCCTTGGCTTCTAAAAGCTGGTTGATTTTGGGGGGCTCGGGGTTCCTGAATAGGACCCTTTTTACGGGCTCCGTAAAGGGTTCCTTAAAGGGCTCTTTAGAACTAAAGGGTTCCTTAAAGGGTTCCATAGGCATCTTTGAGGGGTTTAGGGTATGAAACTGGGTTCCTTTCTTGCTTCAATGAGGTCTCCTGATTAAATTGAATACATTAGGAAAAGGGTACCCTGATTATTAAGGGGTTATTGAGGGACTCGGGGATAGAGTGTTGCATCGGGTATACGATTTCGTAAGGGTGTCATGCGGTCTTCATAGGGACTGTTATAGGCTTCGTATGCAGATAAGGTCTTTCTCAAGGGGGTTGTCGAAGGATTTTGAGGGGTTTCAAACGGGTCAGGCTTTAGGTACGGCCCCCACTCAGTAATAGTTGAATAATATTCATAGTATAGATACAGTAGGACCTTAATAGTAGCCCTATTATAGACTCTTACTGTATGGGGGCCGTACCCAAGTCAGGTTTTTGGTTTGGATGTAGGGCTTCAGCTCTTTACAATGAGGGTCTAGGTTGGGCTGGCGCGTTTGGCTGCAGCTCTGAGACAGGCCTGGCGCAGGCCCTGTTTGCAGGATATATAAGGGTGACTTTGGCTCCATCCACCTCGGAATTGAGGTTCTCAGGTGATTCGCAACATACAAATCCCCGGAAGCCCCATGTGAGTATGGAAAGTCCAAACGGCTGATATAGGGGCTTGAATATGTAGAAATAGTATTCCATTATCGTTCCTGTGTTCTATAGAAACCTAGGTTAGATTTATAAACCGAAAACCAATCCTTAATGCCCTTGCATCTAGGAGTCGCAACAGTAAAGCCCCAACCGAAAACTCTAAACTTAAAACCTTTCTTAGTGGAGTAAGTCACCCTGAACAATTCTTGTCGCAGCAGAAATACGTCATAAGGACCTAAAGCCCCAAAGCCAAGTCTTGTTCCCGCCGGAAATGAGCAAGTACACCGAATAACTTGAGGTCCCAGGGCAGGCAAATCCTCAATCCCAAACCCGTACTCGGAAGGTGAGACACCGCCAGCTTGACTTGGAGTTCCAACAGCTGAAGCTGGAGGAGCCCAAGCAGTGATTCTAACATATTCTAAAGTCTCCCACCGTTGCCCCTGTAGGGGACCATTACCAAAGAATAAACAGAGCAGTTAAGGTATCTTCTTCCAGGCATTTCCCAGGAGTGCACCCGTGCCTTCTTAGGCTTGGGAGAAACCCAGAATCTAAACCGTAAACCAGAAACGTGGAACATGAGTATCCTCATGCCCGTCCTCAACGCAGCAAAGGAAGAAGAATCGCGAGCATTTGCTTCCGACTTCCTGCCTTCCCCGCAAGCCAAAGAACCTACAGGGCTGTAGGTTTAAAGTTTAGGGTTTTCTTGGCGTTCTTCTGGTTGGCCCTTTAGACTTTAACTTTTCGAGTTTCTATATGAACTAGAATAAGGAGGCTAAAAGTTTAACTTTTAGGAGGGGTTCAGAAGTCGGCCAAGTTAACCTACCAGAACCTACGTTTTTGTAGGGTCCCTATAAATCCCATATTAGGGTTTATAATAAGAACCTACAAAAAGCAGGGCTAAGTTTAGGGTTGTGGGAGTTTAGTGTTCAGGAGCAAGATGCTCCTGCAGTTCGGAGCCGAAATCTCGAAAATCCCTTGGCCTCTGAGGCAGCAGTCTAAACCCTGAACCCTACGTGGAGGGTCGGGGGACTTAGTAACTGGCTATTTTAGGGACTTCTAAGTACCATAACCCCAATTAGGGTCCTTTTTAAGGTACTTATAAGTCTACTTACTACCTACTTACTAAGTCCCCCGACCCTCCAAGTAAACCGTCCTGTGAGGAGAAAGTGCGAAACAATGCCGAGCTTGAGCAGGCATCAATCAGGGTCCAGGGGTTTGAGGGTGTAGGGTTTCGGGTTTAGGGTTTCCTTAAACCCTCCAACAACTAAACCACCAAACCCTAAACCTTAAACTCCTAAGCCTTTGACCGCCAGCCGTGAGTGCAGGGTTTGTAGGGTGTTCGTGGCTCTATCGGTTTTCTAGAATCAAAGGGGAGAAGGAGGGACCCTTAACGGGGACCCCTACCCTATAATGGGCTATACAATGGGTATATAATAGCTATATGAAGGGTATATACCTAGGGGTCCTTATTAAGGGTCCTTCCTTTTACCCTTGGATAGAAGCGAACCATCTTAGGGGCACTTGGAAATATTTTTTAATTTTTGGCTATTAAGATCCCTAAGAAACCGCTGAAATGATTTATTTTGGCTAGGGTTCTAAGTTCAGTATAGGGGCTTCTAGAAGCGAACCATGAGGGTTTCAGGTCTCGGGTTTCCCCTCAGGAAGAATCGGCAGAATGGATAAGGTTACCTTCTTTCACTAGGTTCCTGAGTAGTATTTCAAAGTCCCCTTATTGAAGCCAAAAAGTAGGAAAAGAGGGTAGCCTAAAGATAAAGGGGCTATTCAGGAACCTGGTTCAGGAATTCCTATTCAAGGACTAAGTTATAGTGCCCTCTCCATTTTCAGACTTGTGACTGCTACGTTGGGCATACCATATTGATTTTTTATGATTTCTTGTTGAAGCGGCACCCCGGTCGATGTTTTACTCGGCAGGCATACTACCCGTAACCTCATTTGTTACGACAAGTTTGTTATGTTCATGCTGATGCCGGGTCCATGGTTTTTTTTTTTCCTAGGTCTGGCCTACTCTGGGGGGCCTTGCTAGGTCTGGCCCCATGGTCCCTTGGTCCCCTGGTCCTTTGGTCCTCTGGTCCTGGTCCCCTGGTCCTTTGGTCCTCCGGTCCCCTGGTCCCTGGTCCGCTGGTTGCGGTATCTAAAAAGCAAGAAAGAAAGACAGAAAGAAAGAATCAAAGAACGAAAGAGAGAACGAAAGAACAAAAGCAAAAACAAGAGGAAGAACGAAAGCAAGAACTAAAGAAAGAAACTTAAAGAAATACCACGGAATCCGTAGGAAAATCGTGTTTTCCCGAGCAAAAACCAAGCAAATCCTCAGGAAATGAAAACAAATCCGTATGAAAACAGTGTTTCCACTGGGAAAAATTCAAAAACTGCTGTATCTAAAGAGGACGAAAGAAAGGAAAACAGAAAGAAAGAACGATAGAACGAGAGAGAGAACGAAAGAACGAAAGCAAAAACGAAAGAAAGAACGAAAGCAATAACGAAAGAAAGAACGAACCAAAGAAAGAACGAAATAAATCAAACCAGAAAGAAAGCAAGAAAGAAAGGAAGGGAGTACGAGATGAACAAAGAAAGAACAACAGAAAGAAATAAAAGAAATGAACGAGCGAAAGAAAGAAAGATGTCCAGAATAAAAAAGCAAAGTTGGACAAGACGAAAGAGAAAGAATATGAAAGAATCACAGAAACAAAGATACAAGCAACAGGATACTACATAGTCCAATCGAATTTACCATAACATCGTAATGTACCGTAATATAATAATACATAATGTAACCTAATGTTATAAAATATACTACATATTATGTTGTAAATATACACACTGTATTGTACTATGTTACAATGTACTACACTATAAACTAAGATGTTGTTTTGTTCTATGTCATCTTCTGTTATGTTGTATTGTTGTATTTTTAGTATGCTATTATATGCTATAAGAAGCAAGGTTCTGTTATGTCAGAAAATGTCACACCAGTTTTGTGTTGTCGAACCATCTTATGTCGTTCTTCTGGTTTACTATGTTATATATATATATATATATATATATAGGTTAGAATGCTAACGGAAGAAGAGACACGAACAGGCACGGAAGAACAAAACACCCGCCGCCGCGCTTTTCGAGACGTGCAAGCTTGATTCAAAGAGTGTTTTCGAAGCCCATCATGTGAACGTTGTCTCTGCAAATGGGGGGGGCTGCGCCCCCCCCAACCCCCCCGCTGTTTTAAGCCGTGCAGGGTTGCTTTGAAGCATATGCCTTTTTTTGAAACCCAGCAAATGAGGGCGTCTCCGCCCTTGTAGATACATGCTGAGCCAGAATCGCCAAATGAGGGGCGTGTTTAAGATAGATGATGAAGCGGAATACCAGCAACAGCTACAACAGGAAATCCGTCCTAAATGTGAAATTGCAAGGAAAATTTGATTTTCCCGAGGAACAACCATATGTTGTCCTTCTGAAAACCTGAAGAAATGACACGAACGCCATAGGTAATAGCAAAATAGGCTGTTTCCTACGAAAAATCAAGGAAAACTTAGGGAAATACCACGGAATCCGCAGGAATATCGTGTTTTCCAGAGGAAAAACCAAACAGATCCTAAGGAAACAAAAGAAAATCCCTAGGAAAACAGTGTTTTCCCTTGGAAAAATTCAGGAATTGCTGTATTTGAAGTGATTTATTTTTTGATCCTAATTTTAATTTTTTTGATGCCTCTGCCCCAGGAATTGCTGTATTTTGAGTGATTTATTTTTTTTTGATCCTTATTTTATTTTTTTGATCTTTCCATTTAATTTTTTTGATCCTTATTTAATTTTTTTTTGATCCCTCACCCCTCCAATACCTTCATGCAATACACAAGTAAAACCAGACCCTGCGAATGCTAGTTCCCCATTAGCTTGATGAAAAACACAAACAATAAAAGACTCTGCAAATTGTAGTTCCCCAATGGCTTGATGCAAAACACAAACAAGGCCGACCCCCGCAAATTGTAGTTCCCCCATTAGCTTGATGCAAAACACAAGCACAAGAACACACCGCAAATTGTATTTCCCTAGTGGCTTCATGCAAAAGACAAGCAGATGAACACACCGCAAATTCTAGTTCCCTAATAGCTTCAAGCAGAACACAAGCAGAAGAAGACCCTGCGAATTGTAGTTCCCCAATAGCTTGATGCAAAACACAAGCAACACCGATCCCTGCAAATGCGAACCCCCCAATAGCTTCATGCAAAACACAAAGAAAACCGAACCCTACAGCAACAACAAGAACACCAGCAACAGCAACAACAACAACAAGAACAACTACCACGACGGCAACGACGAGGACGAGGACGAGGACGACGACGACGATGACCTAGATGTCGACAACGACACCAAAAAACAACGCCAGAAGACAGAAGATTTGAAATTGGCATTTCGCACTATTCACACGCGAAACACGACCCTGCAAATTGTAGTGCTCCAATACCTTCATGCAATACACAAGCAAAACCAGACCCTGCGAATGCTAGTTCCCCATTAGCTTGATGAAAAACACAAACAATAAAAGACTCTGCAAATTGTAGTTCCCCAATAGCTTGATGCAAAACACAAACAAGGCCGACCCCGCAAATTGTAGTTCCCCCGTTAGCTTGATGCAAAACACAAGCACAAGAACACACCGCAAATTGTACTTCCCTAGTGGCTTCATGCAAAAGACAAGCAGATGAACACACCGCAAATTCTAGTTCCCTAATAGCTTCAAGCAGAACACAAGCAGAAGAAGACCCTGCGAATTGTAGTTCCCCAATAGCTTGATGCAAAACACAAGCAACACCGATCCCTGCAAATGCGAACCCCCCAATAGCTTCATGCAAAACACAAAGAAAACCGAACCCTGCAACTTGTGGTTCCCCAACAGCTTCATGCTAAACACAAGCAAAATCAGACTCCGCAAGTTGTAGTTCCCCAATAGCTTCATGCAAAACAGAAGCAAAACCAGAGCCGTCGAATTCTAGTTCCCCAATAGCTTGATGCAGCAAAGACCGCAGTTGCCGCTGTTGGCAACCACAACCAGTGGGCCAGACTTAGGAAAGCAAGCCGGGGAGGGCCAGACCTAGGAAAAAAAAAACCGCTCCGCCTGCTGATGCCACACCCAAAACTTACAACCCCATAAAGACTAGTTACTGGTTTGCTGAGCTGCTAAATGGAGCAGAAATATCTCAAGTACCTTGTAAGGTGGGATGCAGGCAGCTGCGATTCAGAATCACTTACGTAAGGTCTCCTGCTCGAGATTCCTCTGAACTGCTTTTATCCGACATTTTGAGCTCTTCGTAAAGCAACGTGCTATTCAGCAGCTCCCACCGTTGCGGCAAAAAGGATCAGTCTGGGTACTCGTAGTATCTCAGAGGTTAATCAGTTGTCAGGCTAAGACCTTGCAAACCTTGTATAACCGTACGAAACCCTAGAATGCCCAAAATAAACTCTAACCCATTTTACGCCCTTAGCACGCCTAAATGCTTCAGCTCCTTCTTCCTGATCGGCCATGATCGGCAGCCGGAGTTGTGGTCGCAGGCACCGGGCACGCATTTTCCAGGTGTAGGGTTGGAGCTTGTGGAAGATGTGCCTTTTCCGGGCCGTCGCCACGGCATGGTCAAAAGATCTCGCAGAAGCAGCGCATGCTGCGGAAGCCGGCCCTTTTTCGTTTGCGATCGCTTCGGACGGAGCTTCGGTAGTATTCACTGAGGTGGTGCTTTTGCGAGTTGATGGCGTCCGACAATTCTCCCAGCTGGATCTTTCCAACAGCTTTTCATGGGAGAACAGCTTGTAACTCGCATTCTGGACTTCGCGCTGCTGGCGGCAAGGGCAGTCGGTAATTGACTTGACAGGGCTCCATCTGAGGCCTTAAGAGGGGTCTATCTGGTCGACATAACCCCACGCGCCTGAGTGCTCGTAATGACCATACAGGGTAATCCTTCATGCTCTTGACGACTATTCGAGTTTGCCACTAACCACAACTGTTGTAGCTATCGCTAGGCATTCCAGGTAGCCTCGATATCTTAGACCCCAAACCTACCTACAACCCTGAAGACCTGAACTTCTAATCTTCCGTTTAGAGCTTATGCTAGACCCTCACATAGGGATCGAAAACTGAATATTAGTATTCCAGTAAAGTAAGTCTCCCACCCATAAAATCTTTAGTTCTCTTAGAACAGAAGCAAGCAGTCGTTGGAGATCCCTCCCAAATACCACAAGCGAAGCAACAAAGTAAGCAAGTGTGCCTTCAAATGACTCTTAGGGGTACTTAGAAATACTTTTTAAGTTTTGGTGATTATAATCCCTAAGAAACAGCTTAAATCATAACTTTTGCTAGGGTTCTAAGTTTAGTATAGGACTCTACGAGACAACACTGGCGTCCCCAGTGCAACTAGTACAGAGAAGCCCAGAAAGTCGGAACATGGATTTAGGAAGATTAGTGCAGGGATTCCTTATACTCTTGCTGTAGGGTTATCTACTATTTGCTTAAGAACCCCAAAAAAGTAAAAAATATGTTCCTTATGGGGGCAATATAGGGATTATTATTTTTCATTTTTTGTGGGTTTCTTAAGCAAATAGTAGTTATGAGGAGAACGAAGTTCCATATGTCTTGCTTCTCCTGTAATGTCCCTACAATCAACAGGCTTCGAATTCGGGATCGTGGAATCCTGGAGTCTCACTACTTAAAGGATCATGGGACTTAGTAACTAGGGTTATTATTGGTTTGCTGAGCTCTCTCCCTTTTTGGGGTTGAGGTTTTGGGGTGTCGATGGGTTTTGGGTCTGGGGTGCTCATTCTTGGATGCTTTCTCCAGGATTCCCTCGAACGCCACCTGTGTAAGGCAAAGCTGGAACCCTGATTTCAAGATGTCTGTATAAGTTTATACAGCATAGTCGTATCATGGCCGCTGCAGGATAGCTTAAGGGTTTCCTGGAGGTTCAGGGTTTTGCCGGATTCAATAGCCCTGCTCTGGCTGCACTTACATCGAATTTTGAAGCTACCTCAATGCTTCGCAGGCCCAACGAGTCCTGACGGCGCGTGTGGAGGAAGCTTCTCTCCAAGCAAGGCGGGACACAACAAAGCACGAATCCACAGGGGTTACTTAGAAATATGTTTGGGGGTTGTTGGTTTAGGGCTTCGGGTTCAAGGGTTTAAGGGTACTTAGAAAGACTTTTTCAGTTCAGGGTTCCTATAATGCCTGAGAAACAGCGAAAGTTCTCAAAATTTGCTTGGGGTCAAAGTTCAGTACAGAATCAAGGACGATCCCCGCTCGTAGGGGTTGTCCTGGTTCTTTCCTGGCGAGGCACAATATGTTCTAGGACCCCTAGGTATATACCCTGAATAAAGCTATTATATACCCATTATATAGCCCATTATAGGGTAGGGGTCCCCATTAAGGGTCCCTCCTATTACCATTCCTTCCTGGCGAGGCATGCAGCCCTGGACGAAGATATGAGCCGCTACACTCCTCGTGGAGGTTCGTTTTAGGGTTCAGGGTTCAAGATTTAGAGGGTTCACGGTTTAAGATTTGGGGATTTAGGTGTTGAGGGTTTGTTGTTAGGAGTTCGGACCTTCATAGAGTGAAGATCGATTCTTATGGCCATTGTTTGGGACTGTCCGGTTTGGATGTTTTGATGTTTGTAAAGCTCTTGCAGGTGTTTATGTCTTGTCAAGTTTACTTGTTAGAGGTTCAGTAGCCGACTCAACATGACCAACGGGACAGTTCTCTCGTCAGAGCTGGAAACCGATAATGGTGAATGCTCATGACGAGACTGGGACTTCTCGGCGTCCCATGTCGGAGATCCTTACTTGGAGGGTCGGGGGACTTAGTAAGTAGGTAGTAAGTAGACTTATAAGTACCCTAAAAGGGACCCTTATTGGGGTTATGGTACTTATAAGTCTATAAAATAACCAGTTACTAAGTCCCCCGACCCTCCAAGTACGGACATCGCAAGTGAGGCCTTCAAAGGAAGACCCATGGCTCAGGCTTGGGTCGTTCTTACGCGGGACACTGCCTATGTTGAGCCTAAGCTCATGCAGGTTTAGGGTTCAGGGTTTAGGGTAAAATAAAGTGCTCCAAGTGGGGAGTACGTGAAGTCCTGCGTGCCTTTGAGGGAGCGCCCTCAGAGCCTATCTCCGCTTGGGCGGAGGCTGGTGGTGTTCTGCAGGAGTGGAAGTGCCCTGATCCTATGCTCAGTGTATCTTCTACCCCACCGCAGACTATCACCAGGCTCTTGCTTGGCGTTGGTGCGCTTATGTTTCTAAGGCATGACAGCGTGGGGTACAGAGTTCGAGAGTTCAGATTTTGCATTTCAGTTTGTCCCGAAACGCGGCCAGGGCTTCGCCATACTGTCTGGACGAAGCAGTATAAGGAGCAGCACCCCAAAACCCGTAAAACCATGGCATGAGTTCTACGAAACCCTACACCATCTGACCCTTCAGGCTAAAGCTTAAAGATCTGAACCCTCACTAAAACCCGCAATGTAACATAAAACCCTGGTATCAGGATTTTGGGCTTCCTCGTTCGAGATGCAGGGCTTGAAGGGTCAGGATTCTTTTCTACTATTTGCTTAAGAACCCCCAAAAAATAAAAAAATGTATTCCTTATAGGGATAATATAGGGATTATCATTTTTGATTTTTTGGGGGTTCTTAAGCAAATAGTAGTTATGATGTGTAGTCATGTTTCGGCGGTGCATACTGATACTATGTGCTAGACATGAAACTTCCATACACTTGCTAAACCCTAAACCCCAAACCCTATAGAACTCAAACTCCAGGTTCGAGTGCTTCAGCGCTCCGATTGGGCTCATTCCCCTAGTTTTGGGGAGTAAATCTGGGTTCCCACATCCTAACCCCTTGAGGTATGCATGCGCAAGGAACACTGTGGCGGCCTGAGCTGAAGGGTGGTGTCCCATGATGTCGCAAAGACTCTTCTGAGAATTTAGGGCATCCCTGGCACGAATTGTACATGAACCCCAACCCCTGAAGCCTTAAGCCCTAACCCGAAACCCCTAAACCCTTAAACCCGAGCCCCGACCCCCTCAAACCCTGGAACCTTAAACCCGAATCCCTAACCCCTAAACCCCTAAACCCCGAACCCCGAACCCCTGAACCCCGAAACCGCCAGAGCGGAATTATGGCCCATGCCTTGGGAAGTTACGCTTCGGCCGCCAGTCCCGGTTCGAAGGTTTCGGCCCTTGGAGAGTTCTTCGTAGGCTAGAAAGACGCCCCCTACGCCGAGGGTTCCGTGTAAAGGTAGCCTTAAAGGGGTCTTTCAGGGATCTATAATCCGGTTTTATATTATGGGCCTAAATAAATAGGACCCAGAGTAGGCCCTTATTCCCCTTTGTTAGGGTTTAGATTCTCTTATACACCCCTTTAACCCAAAAAGGGCACCCATTTTATTCCTAGGTCACTCTTGGGAACCTGTAAACTCTAAATCCCTAAACCTCTAAACTCTAACCTCCGAAACAGATAGTCAAGACCAGAAGGTTCGAAGCCTCAACCCAGATCCTGAAGCTTGAACTCGCCAAGCCTGTGACCGGGCTTGGGGTTCAGGGTTTAGAGATTGCGAGTCATGGCCAATGAGGGCAAGACCGAGACCATGCAGACGGTCAACTAAACCCTAAATCCTGATCCTTAACCCTAAACCCGAAAACCTAGACCCCCTTTTAACCTTTGTTTGGGTAGTACAGTCCCTATATAATCCCTATATAACAAAAAAGGCTAACCTTTAGTTCCCCATGACACCCTAACCCCTAAGCCCTAAACCCTAAACTCTAAACCCTAAACCCTATACTCTAAATCTTAAACCCTAAAACCTAACCTTTAGTTCCCCATGATACCCGACAAGTAGGCTCTAGCCTGAAAACCTAGACCCTCTAGTCCCTGATCCACCGAACCCAGCCGTGAAACTGAAGCGTACCCCCTTAGACAGAAGCTCTACAAGGCTCCGACCTAGAGTAGGCCCTTATTCCCTTTTTTGGGGGTTCAGGTTCCCTTAGAAGCCCCTTTAAACCAAAAAGGGCACCCTTTTTATTCCTAGGCTACTCTTGGGTCTAGAAGGTCTCCTAAAAAGCCAGAGCCCTCATAACTGCTTTCGAAGCCCGATAAAATCCTGAGGCCCCGTAGACCTAGGGTGACGCGTAAGGTCACTATGGCTATATCTTTTATCTAGTTATAAACCCAATTCGGATACATCCCTTGAACATACCGAACCCGATCAAACGAATCCATGCAACATCATAGAACATCACTCACGACTCCCGAAACCCTAAACCATGTCCCCTGATCCTTGAAGCGCTCATCTTTCATAAGGCCGTGGACTCTGAGGAGGAGCCGTTTGCCGGCTGCGGGCATGCAATTGGTCTTCGTGAGATTTGGGTTTTGTGAAAGGGCTTTGTAGGCCGTCTAGGACTCTCAAAAGTTTTTTGTCACTGTATGTTGAGAGTTCTGAGGAAGGCTTAGTTTGAGAGCTTCAGGATTTCTTGCGACTGGGGATGTATGGGGATGGCATTAGTGCGAGGTCCTCATCGCACAGGTCCTGTTACACAGGGTTTAGCTTTCAGGATTCAGGGGTTTCGGGTTTTGTGGCGGAAGGGCTTTGCGTTTAGTTGGAGTTTAAGGTTCAGGGCTCTGGAACCTTGGATGCTGCGGGTATGCGGAAGGCTGCGAACGGGTCGAGAAGGGCTTCGTAAGATTTGAGAAGCAGATTTATCTGGGCATTTTAAGAGAGCGGCCCCCGAAAGAGCGAGACCGCGCAATAGGAACAGCCAGTGAGGGTACATGCGTTCGATCTGTAAAGCCGAAGAAAGGAACGCTTTATTTATCCCGAGCCATACACAAAACATAGTAGAAGCTGGCCTTTCTTTGAGCCTCAAGCTCCAAAGCGAAGCTAGAACATGAGGTAGCTGCTAGGGGCAGAACAGAGAAAGGAAGGAAGCCCGAAGTCCTGAAATCCTAAATCCCAAAATCCTAAACGAGAGCAAATGAGGCTTCGGTGAGATCTTGCTGCTCATTGTAGGAACCGCATTACGAAATTCCAAACCCATCTCTCCTAAGAGCCATCTTGGCTTCCAATCAACTAGCCTGAACTTGACTTTTGCTCGCTCCCAGAGTGTTTTCCTTTGTCTTGGCAGGGGCTCCGTTTTTAACTTGAGGAGTGCCAAACAGGAATCCCAGCTAGCCCCCAAACCCCGAACCTTGAAACTTAAACCTTCAACCCAAAACCCCCAACTCCAAACCCCAACCACAAAACTACGAGCAACATGACTCAACCCAAAACCCTAAACCTTCAGCCCCCACCACGTTGCCTCATCGACTCAGGCTGTGGCCAACAGCAGCGTCGTCCCAGAACAGCGCTAGAGGACCGCCTTTCGGAACAAGCTGGCGCAGGTTGTTTTGGGGCCTTTGTAATTATCTATACTATTATGGGCTACTTTCGGGGGTTCCTTATTATAAGTATAGTATAATATGCCTCCGGCCCCTATATTGGGTCTTTTGGGGCCTTAGTGTAGGGGCCTGAATGTTGAGTAGTGTTGAGTACTAGGATCCACGTATAGTCTCGGACCTAGAGTAGGCCCTTATTCCCTTTTTTGGGGGTTCAGGTTCCCTTATAAGCCCCTTTAAACCAAAAAGGGCACCCTTTTTATTCCTAGGCTACTCTTGGGTCTAGTGTAGTAAAACACCCCCCCCAACACCTTACTCCAACTTCCGTAACCATTATGGCCCATGCTGTCAACATGAGGCTGTAGTCGGCTCTGGTACAATCCGTACAGGACGTTTCGGGACGACATATATCGTTTGGCTGCAGTCTTTGAATGGGTTTAGGGGTTGGGGTGTATTCTGGTGTAGAAGCAGATCGTTCGGCTTGCAGGAATCTCAGCGGAAACCAGCGCTTTCGGACGCTAAACCTACCTCCTAGCATGGAGTATAGTTTAGCGTGTATGCAGAAACAACCTCCCTGCGTGTCAGAAGTTACTTTTTCGTTCGGCCTCTAAACTTCCCGCGTAGGACTACAGTTTTGAGTTGGAGCTGGGCCCTAAACCCTAACCCCTAAACCCTAAACCCCTTAACTGCTAAACCCTAAACCCTAAACCCCTAAAATACTAAAGCCTAAACCCCTAAACCCTGACCCCCTAAAACCCTAAACCCCTAATTTGCTAAACCCTAAACCCTAAAGCCCTAAAACCCTAAACCTTCCAGCGGAAGTCCTCCCACACTTGGGTGGTTGTCAAAATTAGGGCCCTTCTTTGGGTCCCTATTATGATACGGCACCTAATATTTAGGGTACCCAAAAGGGGACCATAATTTTGACAACCACCCATGTAGTACCCTATATAGTAGGATCCTTATTACAAGGACTCAAAAATAAGGTCTCCCCTACTTTTCTGAAACTCTAAACCCCTATGAAGCCCTCTAAAGGCCTTACATAATTTTGACAGCCACCGCTCCCACAGGCCTTGATGCTCATGTAGTTCCTTGGAGACTAAGACTCACTGGCCCAAACCCAAGGAAATCAAAGTTGAAACTTTCAGAATCGACTACCTTATAAGAACCCTAAACCCTAAACACCTAAGGACCCCTTAAAGGAACCCTAAAGATCCCTTATAGGAACCCTTAGGGGTCCCCCTTTTGGGGGTCCCTCCTTCTCCCCTTTGATTGTTGATCAACTCACAGTCAGTGGAGACTCGTGAGGCGCCAGTATTTGGAGGGTCGGGGGACTTAGGGGCCCTAAGCTTCCCTTTAAAGGGCTCCTTTTAAAGGGGTCTATGGGGGCTACTATAAGGGATCTATAAGGGTACTATAAAGTCGGGGGACTTACTAACTGGTTATTTTATAGACTTATATGTACCATAACCCCAATTAGGGTCCCGTTTAGGGTACTTATAAGTCACTTACTACCTACTTACTAAGTCCCCCGACCCTCCAAGTAAGGGGCAAACACCTACCGGCCTCAAAAAGGATTCAGAGGGATCCTTAAAGGGGTCTATAACTTAGTAGCTGAGTGGATACGCTTTACACTTTTTGGCATAATAATACCCACTATAAAACTGGAAGTGTACACTTTTTGGGGCTTATGAACTCAGCCACTAAGATAAGGGATCTATAATGGGTTCTATATTAGGGGGCTAAATGGTGTCTTCTTGGCTGTAAGCTCAACTTTTCAACTTTTGGGGTTCTTATAAGGTAGTCGATTCTGAAAATTTCAACTTTGATTTCCTTGGGTTTGGGCCAGTGGGTCTTAATCTCCAAGGAATTACGTGAGCATCGAGGCCTGTGGGAGCGAGAAGCTTGATATGGGTGGTTGTTAAAATTATGGTCCTTTTTTGGATTCCTATTTCAGTAATATAGTACGGCACCTCATATTTCGGGTACCCAAAAAGGGGCCATATTTTTGACAACCACCCAGATAGGTAACCCCGCCCCCCCCCCTCGCCCCCAAATACTCTTTAATAGAGCCCTTATGGTCTTTAATAGTGGGTATTTAGGGTATGATAGAGGGTAGCTCGGAGGTGCTGGACTACATGCGATATCATAATCCTACCAGATGCAGAGGTTGTTTAACTCTACCTTAACCTCAAGGAAGCTACCTTTTTAAGGACTTATATAAAGAAATCATATTAGGGAACCCGAAAAGGCAGGTTCCTTACGATCCAGGTAGAAGATCCCAAGCAACTGAAGGAAGCCTTGAGCAAGTCCATATCGCCCCATCACAACGGAAATGATTTATGCTTGGGGTTTGGGGTTCCTTCAGGGTTTAGGGTTTAGAGTACGCTTCTGGGTGCTGCACACGTGCTCCGAGGGGTTTAGCTTCAACCCTAAACCCCTAAACCCTGAAGACCTTACCTATAGTCTCCATTGTAGTTCCTTTTTTTGGTTAACCAAAATCTCTACTATAGGATCCTAGTCATAAAACTGGTTAACCAAAAATGGAACTACAATGGAGATTATAGGTAGTCCCTATAGACCCGAAATCGTACGGGTACAGGAGAGCTGCTGCCACCTTGAATTGCAAGCACGGCTGCAACACGCGGCCGTCCGACCTGCTGTATCCTGAATAGACCAAGCTGTGTCGGAAATTTCAGTGGATACACTGAAGGTTGGCGAGTAAGTGCTTGCAGACCGGCCTCATCTCAAGAATAAGACTAGGGCGTAGGACGTTTGGGTGTGCTTCGATTTCCGGGTCCTCTGCCGGGAGATTGGGTTGACAAGAAGTTGTTGCATTCGATGACCCGTTTTATACCCTGCACACACACACACACACACACACACGCACCCACCCAGCACCTGACCCTACGAACCTTGGTACAAGCCGTCATACGTTGTTTGTTTCGACAACATTCGACACACTGAGAAATGGGTTAGATAGCAGGGGATCGTATACCCCCCAAAACCATACACCGAAACCCTAAACCCTAAACCCTAAACCCCCCAAAACCATACACCGGAACCCTGTTCTGACTATCAGGCCCCATATATACTATGACTAATAGGTACGGCATGTAGCGACTATTCGGGGAGAGCACTGAGAACTTCTGTTCCGACCCCTAATGCTATGCTTTAGAGTCGTATGATGCTTACTGCCTGCAGCCGCAACAAAGCTTGGGATCGGTAATTTGTACTATAATACCTTCAGTCATAGACGACCGAGCCTTAAGAACAAGGCTTGCCGTATATGACTCGACATGAAACTCATGTAGGGACGAGAAGGGAATATTTATCGTTACTGGTTATTCAGACTGCTGTGTCACGAGAAAGGCCGACCCTTATCGGGCGATTCTGTGGCGCTGTTTCTCACCCCCGGATTTGGGGACGTTTCGAACGTCAAGATGCTCCTAGCTGATAAGTAGTGCTAAACCCTAAGATACGGGCCTTAGAAAACAGAATGAATCAGGAGTTTCAAGGGATAAAGACTCAGTGTTACTTCTTCAGTCTTCTACTGTTTTAAGCAGAGCACCCTGTGTCCTGAATAGTTAACTATAGCTGGTCTCCTTCGGATTTTTTTAAATTCTTGTTCATATAAAAACCAAGAGAATATTAACAATACTATGTTTATCATGGTTGTAAGGGGGTATAGTTAAGGCCTAGTTCAAGTTCAAGGCTTTTAAGCTTCCAGGTCGCAGGGTTGCAAAGGGTTTTGGCGGTTTCAGAGGTTTATTGGGAGGTTCAGAGGACTTGGTAAGTACGGACTAAATGGGGTCATAAGAAAGGATAGCTATATCCAATATAGCCTCAATGAAGGAACCCACTAACCCCACTTCCTGAGCCCCCTGATCCTCTCAACCCTAAACCCCTAAACGCCTAAACTCCTAAATCCTAAACCTTAACCCTTAAACCGCTAAACCC